TGTCCATCAACAGTTGAGATGTGGTGTAAGACTTGTTAGTCTTACACTGGTGTAAAAAAACCTGTCTCATATATATATATATATATATATATAAACTACAAGTATCCAGGGCCAACGCTAAAGGCCTAAGCCACCTCAGCCATAAATGACCAACTATACTAGCACCACTACCAACACCTACGCAGCAGACCAGCTTCCCAACATAAGATATCAAAGTGGCTTACCTCGGAAGGCTCCCCCTCCCCTTTTGTCTCCACAGGTACCCAACGTGTCACACTGAAATGCTCCCCCTCACCTTTCCCTGTGTAGCGGCTGCAAGACGCCCTACCCCAACTAGGCCAAGCTACTTTAGTTTTTTCTTATAATAGTTGACTTGGCACACTCTCCCGGTAGATTGGAGGTCTATAAATACCCCTTTTCTCACCACTTGATAGGATCTTTAACTCATGAGCCATTACCATGCTCATCTGAAGAGCCCTCATAACCATAAACCACACCCCCACCCTTTATACTTCATTGTTGAAAACACTTCTCATAGTCTTGGTCTTCAGTCTTCACCATAGCTGTGTTTGGTACCTCTACACTAACCATCACACCTCCCTTGGGGTTACATATTGGGCTCTCTGTAATCGGAAGGTTCAGGACGTAATCTTGTTTGAGGTGGGTCTAGGATTGAGACTTTAAATCTCTATCGAAGATGGTACTGGAAAGTATCGAATACATGCTTTCACCCTACCTGCTCAACTCTCATGTGCTAATTGAACTATCATCATTTAGTGATACATATATTTATTTTAATAACATGTTAAGCACAGTTGCATTAAGTAAGAGATAATGACTAGAAAAAAATTGCTATACTTATTTTTTTATGTCTTAAGTAGAATTTTATGTTGCCAATGATGTAAGTTAGGAGTGATATTATGTAACGTTATGTCACGAACTACAGAACCTTTATAAATAGTTGATATTTATAAGATAACAGGTCCTTACAAGTTGCTAGCGTCAAGCCTACTTCATCCTTAAAGAAAAGAAAGCAACAAGAAGATGATTTAAAGTTTTGTTAATCTTATATCCTTTTTTTGCTTTTACATAAACTCAAGTACTATCTATATATAGCATTTTTAATGTTGAGTAATTATCAATGAGACGCGAAAATTGATTGAGCAATGCTAAAAAAATTTCTTTGTACCGTACAACAAGAACGGGTCCTCAGTTATCACACGCTTGTGGGCCAACTAGACTTACCCTCCATTAATTTATGGGCCAAATTGGTCCATAGTTAAACGGCCCACTAACAAAGTCTTATCCCATTAATTCAAGACTCACTTTGAGGCTTCATTTTTCTATTGCTACGGACTGTAGTAAGAGATAATCGAACAAACCCAAAACTTTACCCCCAAAAAAAGATTAAAAAAAAAAAGAGAGATTACTTGTATAGTTGTATTGTACCTCACTCCGACGTTTTTTTTTTTTTATACTCTAAAGGAGTGTATTGGATTTAGATTTTAATAGATTATTCTTGGACAGAAAATTCTATTGGTATTAAATTAGGATTGAAAAAAAAGTCATATGGTATTCGATTAATTTTAAAAGATTATTTTAAAGTTCATCCAAATTCAGTAGCATTCGATCAATATTTTAAATAAAAGAAAAATAATTTTGTGATATTTAAAAATCTAACGATTTTAGTGAGTTTTCTATTGCTGTGAATTTCATGAGACTTTTTAATAAAAAATATAAATAGGATGTCTCTCTCACAATCTCACTCTAACCTATAGGATTTCTTGAGATTTCTCTATTACAGTGTACCACTGTCTTCCTCTTCTTTTGGCGGGTCGACCCGCTCGAAACTGGATTCCGCCATGGGAGCTTAGTCAAAGTTCAAAAACATCATATTTTTTTAGTGATTTTTATCACAAAACAACCCAGAAATAACACCCAACAAGATTCTAATCTAATCCATCTCAAAAATAAAAGATTTTTAGCGATTTTTTAGAGCTTTTGGAAGTTTAAAAAATGATTTTTCAAGTTACGCGTCACGATTTTTCTTGGCACAAAAAATATGAGATTTTTGTATTAAAAACAACATAAAATAGCATGGGAAGAAAAATCTTCAAACCAATTTTTGTTTTACATCAATGAAATAAGATTGATTTAAAGAAAGATTGAAACTTTCATAATATGAACCTCATGTTTCCTAACAATACATTTATAAACGAAATTTCTTTGCTATGGGAAACAACAAACAATTTTTGTATCAATAGATCACTAAAAATTTATTTTTCAAAAGCCCCAAAGTAATTTAATATTTTAATTGAAAATAATTTGAAATTTTTCTAAACTTTCATTTAATAAAATCCAGAAATTTAGATTCAAAATTTTCTTAGAATACTCAATGAAAACATGCATATGATATATAGTTAGAAAACTCTTATCACTAGAATAAAAACCACAAGATTTTCAAGATCAATGGCAAAAAATTCCAAATAAATTTTTTTATGAACTTTTTGTTCCATATACAAATTTCGAATTATTTTAATAAATAAGAAATTTTATGGGTATTATAATTATATATGCATATCTCTGATATCAAATGAAGAAGATAATTTTCATTCCATTGGTCAAATCCAAGAGCATAAATGAGAAGATGTTAATGTGTGGAGGGCTAGTATAGGTATATGGAGATCTGTTGCTTAGTACTACATCAAGTTACATCAAATTATTGATTGAGAATCAAATTATTGATTGAGAAAATTATATTAGGTTTTACTTTTTTTTATTAATATCATTGCATTTCTTTGATATTTTTTTGACTCTTGTAATTTTGAATATTTATTCAAAATTCATATAATTTTTTAAAATTTTATAAATTTATATTGTCCCTTCCAATCTTGTAAATTTTATTGAAATCCTTTAAAATGTAATTTATAAAATTTTGATTGTAAAAAAAATCTTTTAAAAAAGTCTTCTTTACAATTCTATATAATCTTTTAAAATTTATAAGATTTTCTATCTCAAAATAATTTTTAAAAATTTTAATCCAATATATCCCTTAAAAATCTGAGAAGTATGTGCGGTTGTGGAATCACCAAAACAATATGCTGAAAATGAAAAAGTAAAACTAAGCTAAACTCAAAGCTGGAGAGCCAAAGCACTAAAGCAATAGACGACAGAGAATAGATCCAGCTGTGGTTCTTGCCATGTAAAACCTAAACAGAAAGTACAAGGGAACAAACTCACTCTCAAAGAGAGTGCACTCACGTTCTATCACATACCATTGCATATAGCCAGGAAGAAAGTGTGCTCCACGCGTGCGTGGTAATTAATTGCTGAACGACAATGTTGTCGTATAGTATCTACGTTTCCGAAAATATACGAATTTAGATATTTTTATATGAAAAAGTGATCAAATGATAATGTTATTTATTCATAACTATTTATTAATAATTAAATAAAAGAGAAAAAAATAAATAACTTTTAAATGAATGATTATGATCAAATAATATGATTACATGAGATTTTTTTTTATAAGAGAGAATCCAAATTCTCCATATATTAAATATGTAGGCTCATCATGAGTGTCTAGAAATTTGAGACGTATCCTAAAATAAATGAATTACTAATGCACTAAACTTCAATGTATATGTAGCCCCATAGATTTTTTTGTATACTGATTAATTAGTAAGTCTTTTGTCAAATATGAAAAATAAAGTAACATATTTGCATTATCTATACTTTTATGATTATTATTTTTTCATATTTCTAATTTTTTTTTTTTAGAAATTTTTTTTCTGCAGTTACTGCAGATAAGTTATTTATATTTACTCCCATAATGACGTCATTTTGTGATTGAATGATTAAAAAATTATAATTATAAAGACTATAATAATCCTAAAATAAATTAAAATTACAAAAACACCATGATTTTCGTCTTAAAATAATAACGTATTGGACTTATTGCAGATAACTTATTTGCAGTGACTGCAGAAAAAACGAACTTTTTTTTTGGTAAAATATCTATTCCCTTGGGCCTGTTTGGTGTGATGTATAAAGCCTGATAATATAAGCTTATACTATACGTTATGACATTTTCAGTTGTTTGGTGTGACCATCGTATAGTATAAGCTTATATAGCAGGATCTTTTTATACATCAAAATGATGTATAACTTAATCAGGCATAGGAGTGGTGGATTAGGCCTGATAAGGGGTAGATGTATTAATATTGCTTATAAATACAATTTTCAAGAACTAATATATCATTTCAATATTTATATATTAAAATAATTTTTTTAATATATTAATTTTTAAAATATTGAAGAATATTATCTTATACAATACCATACCAAACTCTGGAAAAATTTAATCAGGTCTTATACAATCAGATCTTATACTATCAAGTCTTATACTATCAGATTTTATCATATATTATGTACCAAACATGCCCTAAGGGCCGAATAAATCTTTGGTACTACTGCTATACCAAAGATTCAGTGCATCCCACCAATGACAATATTACATGTCAGATAAATTATTATTTTTTCTGTCAAATTTTTTCTCTCTCCTCTGATGTGTAATGCTCTTATTGCTAAGATGCACTGAATTTAGGTACAGCAGTAGTACCAAAGATTTATTCCTAAGGGCCATTTGGAAGAACTTTTGAAAAATGTATTTTTTATACTTTATTTATTTTAGAAGTATTTTTTATAAAAGTTAAAATAATTTAAATTTTTAAAAAATATTTGAGTTTTGAAAAAAAAATATTTAGCTTTCAATTTTTGTTTTTTTTAAAGTTAAAATTTCCAACTTAAAAAAAAAGTAAATTTTTAAATTCTATTTTTTTTTTTGAAAGACATATAAATAGACTTTGTAGTAAATTTATTTATTTTTAATAAAAAAAAATAACCTTTGGCCAACGGTCCATAAGTCTAAGCAAAGTGAACGAACGAGACATAGCGTAGTGGTAGTAAAGAGGTACCCAGATTCCAGGAAAGAACCAAAACGCGCAAAAGAATGGAATAGTACGAAAAAGTTTTCAACTTGGGAGAGAAAACAAAATCGAAACAAGGAAGGGTTGTGGTACTGTTCTTCCGAGGTTGTCATGCCAATGGCAAAAGTGAAAGAGGAACCCGAAGCCACACCCACTTTACCTTCCTCTTATGTGTTACTTTTGCGAATCATGAGCAAAAGGAGAACTTGGGTATGCATATTTGTTCTTGTTTATGGCTTGCTTTTGACATGTTCATGGAATTTCCTCAACTCCATGATTTCATGGTACAAGTTGCAAGCTGAATCATCCACTTCATGGTGGCCTGCTCTCTATGCCTCGGTGCTTCTTGGAACATATTTTGGGCTTTTTTCGATGGTTGCAGCTCTTGCTGTCGTGGTGCCTGCGGTTCTGGTGACGTGGATCGCCATCGTGGTGTTGTTGGCTTTCTTTGGTAAGCCTAAGAGGGCTTTGGTTATTGAGGGGAGGAAGATCACCATGGAAATTCTCAGTTTTGTGATGAAGGTTTTGATAAAGGAAGGAAAGGCTGTTGCTGCCGTTTGTGCTGTATTGGGGTATTTTGCTCTTGGGAGATGGAACATTGAAGGTGTTGAATCTTGAATTTGGTGTTATGGGTTTGGTGTAGTGTGGTTGGTTAGTGAGATTTGGGGTAGATGGGGTTTGCAAATCGATCATAATGGTGGGTGTGATTTGGTAAAGTGCTGTGATCACTTTTTAGATATTTGTTTAGAGATAATGGGAATTAGATTAGGTAGGTGAAATTGTTACCTGCTGATTTGTATGGCTGATTGACAATCTTGTCAATGCCAGTGTATGCTCTTCATGATTCATTAATTTTATAAGCACTTTTGTTTTTTATGTTTGCTAATAATCATAGAGTAAGGATATTCTAATTACCAAAAATTCTTACTACTAATTTACTACCCATCACATTATCATTGGATCAAAGAGAGAGAATGTTAAAAAAAATTTGAAGAGAGAGAAAATGTTAATCTAATGATAATTAGATAGGTAGTAAGTTGGTAGTGAAAAATTTTGGTAGTAAGAATATCCCTCCTCGTAATCATATAAGCATTTTATAAGCACTTTAGGAAATTGTTATTGGAAGTTTATAAGTTTAAAGCTTTGAGCCATAAAAGAAAGAAAAAAGATAATGGGCTGCGGGAAGTTTAATATAATAATATATCAGTCTTCAAAAATCAAGTCAATAAGCTGAAGTTTGTGTCAAATAAAGAATAATTTATTATTATTTTCCAAAAAAAAAAAGAATAATTTATTAATAATTACTTTTGGAAGTGGACTAGTGAAGTTTTAGTTGTAATATCCTTAGAAAAGCAAACTTGATCATAGAACCATTGCCATATCACTCAATTATAGCATACATCCATTGATTTCACCTATGATAATGATATGATCAAGTTGCACATTGCCAGCAGCAGTATCTGAATACTTCATTTTCAAGTTTCTGACATGGTTCAGCTCATTGGGCATTCGGGTCAATTTTTGTTTTGAAAGATGTCTACCCTAAAATTCTTTTATCCTTCTTAATAATTATTTTAATCCCAAAACTTAGAGGGTGTATTGAATTAGAATTTAAAAAATTATTTTTAGATACAAAAATCTTATAAACTTTAAAAAACTATATAGAATTGTTGTGACTTTAAATACTTTTTTAAAAGATTTTTTTACAAACAAATTTTATAAGATTAGATTTTAAAGGATTTTAATAGAATGTATAAGATTTTAAAGGATAATACGAATTTATAAGATTTTAAAAAATTATATGAATTTTTAAAAAAATTCAAAACTACAAGAATCAATAAAAAAATAACAAAAAAAATGCAATGATATTAATAAAAAAAGTAAACCTAATATAATTTTCTCAATCAGTGATTTGATGTAATTTGATATCTTACTAAATAACAACTCTCCATATATCTATACTAGCCTGCACGCATTAGCATATTCTCGTTCTTGCTCTTAGGTTTGACCAATGAGATGAAAATTATCTTCGTCATTTTGTATCAGAGCTATGCATATATGATTATAAAACCCATATTTTTTATTTATTAAAATAATTTGAAATTTACATATAGAACCTAAAGTTCATGATAAAATTTTAATTGAATTTTTTTGCAATTGATCTAGGAAATCTTATGGTTTTTGTTCTACATGATAAGAGTTTTCTAACAATATATCATATTCATGTTTTCATTGAATATTCTAAGAAAATTTCGAATATGAATTTCTGGGTTTTATTACATGAAAGTTTAGAAAATTTCTCAAATTAATTTTAATTGATACATTGAAACCTGAAATTGCTTTGTGGCTTTTGAAAAATAAGTTTTTAGTGATCTACTGACACAAAAATTGTTTGAAATCGTTTCCTATAGCGAAGGAATTTCGTTCATGAATGTATTGTTACGAAACATAGTGTTTATATTATGAAAGTTTCAATCTTTCTTTAAATCGATCTTGTTTTATTGATGTAAAAAAAATTGATTTTGGGGGTTTTGTTCTCCTATTATTTTCCCACTGTTTTATGTTATTTTTATTACAAAAATCACAACTTTTTGTGCCAATGAAAATTGTGACCCATAGCTTGAAAAATATTTTTAAAACTTTCAAAAGCTCTCAAAAATCTTTTGTTTTTGAGATGGATTAGATTAGGATCTTGTTGGTTGTTGTTTCTGGATTGTTTTGTGATTAAAATCGCTGAAAAATCTATTGTATTTGAGCTTTAACGAAGCTCCCATGAAGAAACCCAGTTTCGAGCTGGTCGACCCGCCAAAGGAATAAGAAAACACTGCAATAGAGAAATCTTAAGAAATTCTAGGGGTTATGGTGAGATTGTGAGAGAGACATCCTATTTATATTTCTCACTAAAAAGTCTCATGAAATTCGCACCAATAGAAAATTTACTAAAATCGTCATATTTTTAAATACCACAAGATTGTTTTTCCTTTATTTAAAATTCTGATTGAATACCACTAGATTTGGATAGATTATAAAATAATTTTTTAAAATCCTAATCGAATATCACGTGACTTTTTTCAATCCTTTAAAATCCTGATTGACTACCAATGGATTTTTTTGTCAAAAAATAATTCATTAAAATCTCAATCCAATACACGCCCTTAAGTTGATAAGTAAAGGTTCAATCAATAGTTTTAAGGAAAAAAATATCTAATGTTACTTTAGACAATTTTGTCTAATATTCACCGAAATGACGTCATTTCTTAGTTAAAAAATTAGAATAATAAAGACTATTATAATGCTGAAATAGATTAAAATTACAAATACACCATGATTTCCGCCCCAAAACGACATCATTTTGATGAACATTAGATAAAGTTATCTAAAATAACTTTATAAAAACGAACCCATAATTTTATATTATATTTCTTTAGTATGCCACCTCACACAAGAGTCATTAGGCTTAATGGACAATCCAAAAGCTTAAGTTCATAAATGAAAGCCCATTCAATAATTTTATATTATATTTCTCCCACACTCCCAATTTAAGAAAATGGAATCCTTTAATTTATTTGTAAAAGGATGGACTATTAGTTTATGGGAAAATTGTTTGTCCTTTTAAATGACATAATTTATGTCATTTCACTTTCACAAAAAAAGTGAGATTCACACCTTTACTTTTTTTTGTCCACTCTCTTTCTTCTATAATCTATCTCTTTCTCTCACTTAAAATGACACAACTTTACATCCACACACTTGGAATCCTTTAATTTATTTGTAAAAGGATGAACTATTAGTTTATGGGAAAATTGTTTGCCCTTTTAAATGACATAATTTATGTCATTTCACTCTCACAAAAAAGTGGGACCCACACCTTTATTTTTTTGTCCACTCTTTTACTTCTATAATCTATCTCTTTCTCTCACTTAAAATGACACAACTTTATATCTTTAAGATGATACACATTTTTCCCTTAATTCATACTGCCTAGACAAAAATGAGGAGTTAGGATATTTTCTAGTACATTTCCAACCGACCAGTTGCATATTTTCTTATCATTTGCTTGTTCTGCAAGCAAGACAAACCAGCAACTACAAGCGAAAGTGAAACCATACACAACCAAAAAAGAAATAAATATCTCTGCAAAATGTTGATTCAATAAAAAGTAAACCATAAAAAAAATAAAAAAAATGCACTTGTACAAGTAGTTGTATCCAACAAAGAACTCAAGATGCCTTTCAAGGACAGTGGCACGACATTATACCATAGTGGACAGGTAAACCTGAACATGTAATTGTAACAACTTTGTTAAAAGTCTAATTTTAAATAAGGTAATTTGTGATCTTATATCCATGCAATTATACTTCACAGTTAAGGAAATTGTAACAAGCAAAGACTCTATGAAATGATACAAATTCGAATAATTGGTTTGGCAATCGCACCATCAAATCCGCATGGTAGGATTGCCAGTCACGTATAAACCTCGGCATAAGGGGTAAATGGAAATCATACTCGTGCAGAATAAGTGCATGCACCATATCATAGTGAAGCGAAGGTTGATTCTATATGCATATGATTAATTTTATAGTTTAAGTAAATTTATAGGATGAAAGTCTCAATTATTCTTCTTTTGGTCAGCACAAAATTGATTTCAAACTTTATATGTCATTTTGACTGAAAAGACATTAACCTAATCCTTCAAGCATTAATAGTTGCTTATGAGTAATCTGATATATGTTTATAATGCAAAAGTGGTGCCATTAATTCTAATTCATTTGCACTTAAACTCAAACTTGAAATTCATCCCACAAATAGTAAGTGCATCTAAACAAATGAAAAAGATTGAGAACGATCCCTGGCTTCCCATATTATGCTCCCGTATGATAATGTTCCTCATCTATTAACTGGTTCATGTAACTATCCATTTTAGCTTGGCTTGCCCTTTTTTTCCTTTTTGGAAAAAAAAAAGGGGGAAGAACTAACGTAAAGCTTTGGTAATTATTACAGCTTATTTTTTTTAGAAATATTCCAATCGGTTCATCACTTTACGATTAGTCCGATTTGAGACGGGTCCCGAGATTAAGATTTTAAACCCCTCCCAAAAATAATACTAAGTAGGATCAAACACATATTATCACCTTCACCTACTCAGTTATTTTCTAGCGCCAACTGAGCTACTTATTAAAATGAAGATTCATATTAGTTATTTTATACTAGTATTTTTTTTAAAAATTTATTTTGTTGCTTGCTAACTTATACTGGTAATTATTACACCTTTAGTAGTTTTTCACTTGATTATTTGAACGGGACGAATTCGGAATCAACAAAGATAGTGATGCGCAACCATTCTTCCTCTACTAACATTTGGATTTCTCCGTGTACAACTGAATAAGGGTACGTTTTAGAATACAGTTTGTTAAATTGATTTTGAATGAACTTAATTTTGCTAAATTTATTTTAGTTAGTACCATGTTTCAGTGATTGATTTATATTTAGAAATGTTTGCAGGAAAAGTGATTTTCGCATAATTAATAATTTTTGATCGGATAATGTTGACAGAAATTATTTTTTGACCTGTGATTAGCAAAGAGAATATAAATTTATTTCTTGAGTTAAATTTGAAAAAATTAATGTCACAAATCTGATTGTAAATAAATTGATACTCAAACAATTAATTTAAAATTTAAATTTATTTATAATTTATATTTGCTACATTGTCAATTATTAAAAAAAAATTATAGTATTACTCAATGATATATTGTTTGGCTTTGGATTCGTCATGTAACATGATCAAAAAAAGTTTCCTACAAAATAAATGACAAATTAAATAATAATAATAATAAAAGTTGCATACCAAAAAAAAAAAATAATAATAATAATAAAAGTTGAAGAGGCACTGTGCTCAATAACTTTATCTTGTCTGTAGTGATTGTATGATATTAATTTTCTACCAGCAACATGATTTTTATTTATCCCTATATTGTTACATCATTCAATAAATTTAACATTTCATATAATTTTTGTCTAGTTGTCAAATTCATTAGATGATATGTCAACACAAGAATACCAAATGTATCTATTTTTTTTTAACATTTTAATCTGGATAACATGGTAAAAGGTTCAGTGATAAAGGATGGGAACAGTGATAGGAACAAGGCGACATAATTGATTAATGGTAATAGGTTCCTTCCTCAGATCTAGTTTAATTACTGTTTGTAGTTTGTACTGTTACAAAGTACAAACATTTCAATACACACTTACTACTATGTAAGATCATTTTCACTATAATTTTTTCAACACATTTCACTACACACTTTCTATCATAATATCATTCTCACTTTAATTTTTTCAACCTCAATCATCTCTGATAGTTTTGACTATTTTGAAGATAAACATGTGATTCTCTTTCAGTTCCTTTTCTTCTATGGGGTGGAACTACAATCAGAATAAGCATTCCTCATTTCATGCACAGTTATCGCTTGCTCATTTCATTCTATAAAATCCCCTTAATTACAGCCCCACTACAGCAACTTAACACAAAATCTACCAAATTTTCTTTGTACATTCCTTTTGGGGTCAGTGATTTTCTTAGTAACTCATTAAAGTTAATGCCTTTCAAGTCCATTCATACACTTCTCAGTTCTCACAGAGAGATCTAGAACTACCAAACTCACTTCTGAGGTGGGTTAGGTTCAGCAATCTTCATCAAGTGTCACTAAATTAGTGAAAACTTTTGAACAAAGGGTCAAAAGGGTACCCTGGAACCTCATCAATTTGTTGAATTTTGGCCTTAAATATATATTTTTAATATATATAAGAATGGTGGGAGGAAATGGTGTGTTCTATCCAATTCTGGGTTTTGCAGCGTTTGTGCTTTTCATTTATATGTCTTTTGGAGGCTTAAGGTTCAGTTTTGATGAAGAGCCAGAATTGACTTTTGTGGAGAGAAAAGGGACGCAGTTTATGTTGAACGGAAAAGCGTTCTATGTAAACGGGTGGAACTCTTACTGGTTAATGGTGCAATCGGTGGATGTTGATTCGAGATACAAGGTGCGTGAAATGCTGAAAACTGGTGCCAAGATGGGTCTCACAGTTTGTCGAACTTGGGCATTCAATGATGGTGACTACAATGCCCTTCAAACTTCCCCTGGTCGCTTCGATGAACAAGCTTTCAAGGTATTGTTTGTATGTAGCTCATGAAGTTTTTGAAAATTTCGTATTATGTTACTCCTAGAATTTATACTGATATTGTTTTGGTGTGTCTTTTCCGAGTTTCATGCCTGATACCGACACAGATTAGTTTATTGTTTTTGTTTTTTTGGCTGTCTAGTAGCGTTATGGTAAATTGTTTTTTGTTTTTTGGGGTTTTGATTCCTTTATTTTTTTTTATTGTCTTCTCGGTTTTTGTTCTCTTTTCCTGAAATTGTGATTGTAATTGTATCTCTTTCGAGCTGAATATTATGATTATGTTAATGGAGATAAAATTTGTTCCTGGGAAGTGATAGAATATGCATAAAAAGTGGCACGCGGTCTCTCTGGGTGGTAAGTATCTAAATAGAATCAAATTGAAGATTGTCTTTTTCTTTTATGCTCCTAAAATTGTGATCATTAGCTTACCAAACAATAAAAATAAAGTGTGTTCATTAGCTAGATAAATCAACATGAAATATGTTGGATTTTTTATATTCCTCTTTCTCCTTTCTCGCCATCCTTAATCAATCTACCGCCTGCAAAATTGTCCCAAAAATGGTATTGGTGTTCTGACTTCTGACTAAAATCGGTTTTAAAATCGAAAGGTTTCTGAAAGAAGCAATGTGTGCTTAACTTTTTGCAAATTTTCAAGCTACGCTTTTCAATTTAGTCTCTTAAAAGTTTATGATGGTTGCTTTGGAGATTTATGTCGCACTGAATATGTCCTTTATGTTATGCCCAACTAAATGAAAAATGCTTCATGTTGTATTACTGGAAATGTTGTTTACTGTTTAGCATTGTTTTTGGTGAATGAAAACCATGCTGAGGACTAGTGGGTGACTGGTAACAGGCATTGGATTATGTCATAGCAGAAGCAAGGCGAAATGGAATTAGGCTGCTCTTTAGCTTAGTAAATAACTTGCAAGCATATGGTGGGAAGACTCAGTATGTCAAATGGGCTTGGCAAGAAGGGGTAGGGTTAAGCTCGTCCAATGATTCTTTCTTTTTTGATCCATCAATCCGTAGTTATTTCAAGAATTACATCAAGGTATGACAAATCTATCTATCTATCTGTCTTTCTTTCTTTTTTCTTTTTCTTTTTCTTTTTTCCCTCTCTCTCTCTTTCACCCCAAACCCTGCCTCAGTTGGAGAGGCGTTCTTGTGTGCTATTTAAGATTGCTTTCATTATATATATAATGTGTGTGCGCGGGCACAGCAACAATTTAATATTCTTTCCCTTAACATATTTTAGCATGAGCAAGTAGTTGGCATTTTTGTCTTTGCTGGCCTGTTATTTGACATTTGAAAGGCATTCCTTGTTAGAAATCGACAATCACACAAATCGCAAACGAAAAGAGAAAAGAGAGAGAGAATAGACACAGAGATTTACCCTGGTTCACCCAATTTAGACTACGTCCAACTTGTCTGTACTATATTCACCTCACCGTCACTCATTACAAGTCACTCGGTTTACAAGAAAAATATAAATAGGATTAGAAAACCCGACAACTAGGACCATCATCAACATGCGAAATATGAGTTATACCCAACATTCCTAGTCCACCTTTCTCTGAAAATTGAATCATGTTGACAAGCATTTGGAACTTGAGACTGGCGATGGCATCTTGATGAAGAAATGTTCTACCATTGCACTAATTAACTGTCTGATTTTTTTCATTCTATAAAGTAGTTGCCTAGGACTGAATAATCACTGCAACGGTGTAGCCTTGTTGGGAAGCAAAAAATGAGATGACCAATGCACAATTTTCTTTTCATTAGCAAAACAAATAAATAAGTAACCTTATTTCTTAAGCTTCATTGAATATCTTCTGCTTTCTGTTTCCTTATGTATACTGAATTCAAAACATATAGAATGGCTTACACTTCTCTAGCCTGTGATCCATGACTTTATATGAAGCTTATATATCCTGCTTGCCTCGGTCTAAATTACCTCTTTCTTTACATGCCAAATTGTATGACTAACATTTTTTTTACTGGACATTTCAATTTTAGCTGCAAACAACCCTTGTGGCTGTTCTTATTGATAAATTAATAGTTTCCTCTGAATTATTCTGCAGACTGTCTTAACAAGGAAAAATACTATCACCGGAGTTGAATATAGAAATGACCCCACCATTTTTGGTTGGGAATTGATTAATGAACCTCGTTGCATGTCTGATCCTTCTGGTGACACACTCCAAGTAAGTCCTTTACATGTGCTTAACCCCTTCAAATATTTATGGAAAATCTACGCTAACAATATTAATACTATTTCAAAAATTAAAATAATTACTTGATTCTTCCTCCTTATGCTACGTTCAATAAATTATTATGATCTCTGACGAATGTTCTGGCTATTTGCCCCCACCAGAGAAGCTTGTAAATTTTACACAAGTGCATGGTTGAATTTGATATTAAGGATTCTATATCCAATTTTTAGCCATTTTTCTGATGCTAATTGTGAACTGTAATTTTTAATTCAAGTAATTAAAATGTAACAAGATGTTTTCTTTTTCTGTTTCATGTAAATTCGTATAAAACGAAGAGCAGAAAATGAAAAGGGCTGTCTTTATTCCTTTTCTTCTTTTTTTCTGTGGGTTCTGAAGCAGAGGAAAATGATGGTGGTGTTACTGCTTTTTACTTAGATATCTGAGTATACACTTCACTTAATCGCCATAGAATTGCAGGGGTGGATAGAAGAAATGTCAAATTTTGTCAAATTGATTGACAAGAACCATCTGGTAACTATTGGGCTTGAAGGTTTTTATGGTCCCAATGACCCAAAAAGTTCGACTGTCAACCCTGAGTATTGGGCATCCAGACTTGGGTCTGATTTTATTCGGAACTCTAAAGTCTCGAATATTGATTTCACCTCTGTTCATATCTATCCTGACCATTGGTAAGCACTGCATGAAAGCTATATCTGTAGTTTTGGATTTGCTTCTTAGTCATAAGAAAAAGGACCCAAAGTAATGCCTTTCAAGGTTTCTGACTAGTTTTCATGTTTGTCTTAACTGATCAACTATTGCAGCAAGAGTTCTTTTGAAATTTGTATTATGCCCTTTGAGATTTATCTTCTGATTTGTATATAGAACCACACATCCAAAAAAATTTCTCATGAAAATTTCATATAGCTATTTCATTTGTACTTTATCTTTTATTTAATTATCAATTTCTGCATAGGTTTCATGAGCAAGCAATTGAAGATCAACTGAAATTTGTCTCCAAGTGGATGCTTTCCCACATTGAAGATGGGGACAAAGTATTGATGAAGCCTGTCTTGTTCTCTGAATATGGATTTTCAGATATGAATCAGAACTTTTCTTTATCTGACCGAGAAAAGATGCATAAAACTGTTTTAGACATAATATACAAATCTGCTAAGAAAAATAGGTCAGGAGCAGGTGCTTTAGTTTGGCAATTCTTAGTTGGAGGAATGAAGGAGTTTTCTGATGAATATGGGATAGTCCCATGGGAAAGTTCATCATCTACCAATTCACTATTTATTAAACAGTCTTGCAGATTGGCCAATATGAAGGGGTGGACTCAACAGGATGCAAGTTTCAAAGAACTTTGTTAGCAAAAACAGTGGAAAACAGTTTTATATTATGGAATAGAAATCGGTATAAGATATGGTTTGTTCTTGCTTCAAGGAGTCTACAACAATGCTTGGTTTTGTACTATATCCTTCCTTCAGGTGTTTAACATTTCATCACCAATATTGCAGTGGAGTGATTAGTTGAGTATATATAGTGTGGTAGCATGGATTAGAGATTCTTATAAACAAAGTATCATTTAGATATTGAAATTTTTATGTAATTAAGTTATATTATCAAATCCAGTTTACTCCGCGGATTGTATGCGGAGAGTTATCAAATCATTGCAAATATTTGCTTTTAATTTTGTCACTTTTGCTGGTAAATATCAATTCGGAAATGAACCGAATGCATGTATATTCAGTAAATATCCAATAATAATATTAAAACAGGCATGACTAAGGTCAACTAAAACACCAAGCATTATGATAATGTAGCAATTTGGAATTGTAAATTGAGACTAGAACTTAAATTACATTCTCTAAAATGCAAAATAAAGTAAAATAAAATAAAAAAAAAAAAGATTAAAAGAGGCAGGGCCTATTTACTAAAAATGGAAAAAAGCGAAGCATAATTTATTTAATTACATGGCGCTAATTGGATCCACGCTTTGATAATCTAGGAGAAGTTCTAACTCTAACCCCATTTGTAGAAGAAACAGGGCTCTTCTCAGCTTCACTCTTATTTTTGTTTCTTTTGGGATTCGATTTCTCACCTTTTTCTTCTTCAACCACCTTCTTCACAGCATCACCACCACCACCACCTTTAATCAATCTGCGACTCCGAGTCCTAAGCCCCATCGAATCAGAATCCACACCATTGCTCTCCGTGGAAGCCACTCGATCAAAATCATCTCCAAGCTTCTTCACCAACCTCCTCGGAACGCCGCGACGAGTAAACCTAACCTTCGCTTTCGCTTCCTCTTCATCTTCAATCTCTTCCAACTCCTCATCCTCATCATCTATCAGAGCCACTGACCTCCGCAGCTTCGCCGCGACCGGAGCCGGCGGAGGCGAAAGCGAGGCTTTCCTTTTAGATCCGCAAAGATCCGGGCGGGCAATGGAGAGCGGGCTGTGGGCCTGGGCCTTGGAGATCTTGTCGCGCTGGGTTCGGAGCTTATCGACGTTGCCTTCGATTTTGCCCTGGAGGCGAAGGCGTTTCTCTTCGAGGCCACCCATGGACCAGTGGGCTTTATGGGCCCACGACATTAAAGCGTCAGTGACGGGGACGGGAGGGTCGACGCGGTGGTCGTTGAACTTGAGTTCAGTATAGAAACGAGGGCGGGGGAGGCTGGTGCCGTAGAATTTAGCGGGACCATGAGAGACTACCATTATTTAAGAGTAAGGCAATCGCGAATGAAATGGACTGTGTTTGGTAGCGATAGAGTTTTGTTAAATAGGAATCAGAAGCAGAACGAGGTAGTGATGGCGGGAACTTAAAACATTTGGCGGGACAAGTTGCCGCCCCCCAATTAGTGTGAAAATTTTGGCGCCTTTTGGTTATGGGCTTGGGCTTTGTTTGATTTTAAAGGGTTTCGTTTTGTTACACAAGATTACTAAGTACGAACAATACGATCAAGGTTATTGAATATCGTGCATCATGAATCGTAATTAAAAAATATATAATATTGTTATAAAAAAAAAAAAAAAAAAATATATATATATATATATAATTAATATTATAATTAATTATATAAATTTAAATTTTAAAAAGGATTCAATTAGAAAAATACATAAATTATTAAAGTGCAAATCAATTATTCTCATATTCATCAATCATCAAGCTAATATTATAAATTTATAACTACTATCAGTATCAACATAATTAATCCATCATCTTCTTTATTAGTGTAGTCATTTGACTCATTTATTATTTTTTGTTTAACAATCTGAAGTCTTTTTTCCACTATCAGCTAGTTTGATTTTTTAATTTAAATCAAAAATTAAATCTTTATTTTCTTTTAGATTTTTTTAGATTTAAATCACAAATCAAAATTATTTTTAATTTTGTATTAAAAATTTTGATTTAATTTTTGTATCGTATAATATATGATACAATATTACACCTTATGGTATAATATTATGTCGTCTGATATCCCGTGATATGTATTGTATGATGTTGATAACTATGTTTGTGATACCTAAACACATAAGTGTTTATTGGTTCCCCACAAATTACTTGTATCTTATGCTAATAAAAAGGTAAAACGTGGGAATCTGGCATCTCAGTAAGGGGGCATTTGGTACAGGTGAAAATTATTTTTACCAGGGAAAGTGAGTTAGGTAGGAAAGTTAGAAAAAAGTTGTTTGGTTGGGTAAAATATTACCAGGCAAATTGATTAAAGTTTTTGAAGTCTATGTTTGGTTGAGAATAGAATATTGATGGGTAAATGGTATAAAATTACAAAAGTAATCCCTTATTAATTTTTTAATATCAATACAAATATTTTTAATATCATTACAAAAGTAACCCATAATAGAAGGGTAGTTCAGTCAAATCCTTCATTCTATGGATCTCATTTGCCTAGTTATCATACAATACCGCTTTCAAAGTGGCATTGTTGGTTTGGGTTTATTGTTACTTTTTGCAAAGAATTGTGGAACCATAGCCAAATCAGTTGGCTGAGAAATTTTTAGAAAAGATTGAACCAAACGTTGTATTCATGAAATGCCAATATGTAATGCCTGGGGTTTTCTTAAGAAAACCCAAACCAAACACCCTCTAAAAGCTTTATTACATCACGGGATCTTTATTTCTCTCTATTTTCCCTAACTTTTCAATCTCATCATAACTAGAAGTTATAATGCAAAATATAAACCATGTAGAAAATATGGGTTTAAAGTTTATAGGAGATAAAATTATACAAAACTCAATATTTATGAATGTTTTATTTCTTACACAAATAAAAATATGTGATATTCAGTTTTTCTTTCTCTTTCTCTTTTTCACATGGTTTCACATGGGTCTCATATATTTTTATGTATGTGTAAGTGATAATTTTATCTCTTATAATATGAAAAACTTTAAATTCATTTTAAAGAATTAATTCAACCCCAAAGCTTAAGTTGCTGGGAGAAGCTAATGCTTCTCTAACATGCCCCCTCACATAAGACCCCACTGAACTTTGTAACAGCCCCAAACCCTGTAGCATGATATTGTCCGCTTTGCCCCGCGCACAAGCACCGTCGAGCTCACGGTTTTGTTTCTTGGGACACCCCACAAAAGGCCTCACACTAGAAGAGGTATCCACACCCTTATAAGGTATGCTTCGTTCCCCTCTCCAACCGATGTGGGACATTACATCCTCCCCCACTGGGAATACAGCGTCCCCGCTGTACACACCGGTCCAGGGCCAGGCTCTGATACCAAATGTAACAGCCCCAAACCCTGTAGCATGATATTGTCCGTTTTGCCCCGCGCACAAGCACCGTCGAGCTCACGGTTTTGTTTCTTGGGACACCCCACAAAAGGCCTCACACTAGAAGAGGTATCCACACCCTTATAAGGCATGCTTCGTTCCCCTCTCCAACCGATGTGGGACATTACAAACTTGAAGGGTGAATAATGCACAAGTCCATCCACCTATACTACGAAACTCCGCTTAATTAATTATTAATTAAATGGAGACGGTGAAGATCGACCTGTGACCCCAAAATTAATACCATATAAAAAACTATTTTAATCCAACAGCTTAAACTCTTAGATGAAGTTACATTAATGGCTTTATATTTCTCTCACCATTATAAAATGTTTCGTTTAATTTATTTTGGAAAACAAGGAATGCAAAACACAAACACACTAGAAAGTAGAAACTGATACATAGTTATGCATGGGGCACCTATAGAAACTCCTAGTCCTGAAAGACAGTGCAGGTTGTTGAGATTCAGAGAGAAGAAACAGAGTATGGTGAAAACTGAATTCAATGATTTCAAAATCTAACTACAACTTCCGTACATATCTTACATATATGGCTATCAACATGCACAACTAAGATAAACTAACTAACTAACTGATAGTCGTTTACATAACTTCCTAACTAACTCATAAAGATCCAGCTACACAACTTACGTGGCATCTTTTCTATCATGATTGGTTGCTTTAATAAGATGATTATTAAAGGCAACTGAAATGGGCTTGATTTGTTGCATTTCATTGGGCCACTTTATGTTGGGTAATACCCCCTACAAGTGGGATGAAGCAAATTGATGAGGCCCAACTTGGAGATGATTGGAAGAAAAGACTTCGATGGCAATGGCTTCGTAAATATGTCTGCAAGTTGAGCAGCAGAGGACACAGGAAGAAGATGAAGAAGACCAGAGCATATTTTCTCTCGGGTAACATGGCAATCGATCTCGATGTGCTTAGAATGCTCATGAAAAGCTGGATTATGAGCTCGGTATATGGCTGATTCATTATCGCAATAAACCGAAGCAGGTTTAAGCCATGAGAGATGCAAATCGTGGAATAAGTGTTGAAGCCATTGAAGCTCACAAGTCAGAGTAGCGAGAGCTCTGTATTCTGCTTCAGAGGAAGAACGCGAAACAATTGTTTGCTTCTTGGAACGCCATGCAACTAAGGAAGAGCCAACAAAAATACAGAGACCTGTAACTAATCGACGAGTATCAGGACAAGATGCCTAGTCTGAGTCGCTGAAAGCTCGAACCTGAATGTTTGTGTGTGCTGAGAAGAACAAACCAGAAGCTGGGGTTAGGGATGGCAAAGCGAGCTGCCCGCCACGCCCCACCCGTGCCCATCATAAGCCCGCGAGATTTTACACTAAAAAAGAAAATAATAATAAAAAATCCAGCCCAGGCGGCTTGGTGGGGCGGGCTTAACTCAGCCCGCCCAGCCCCGTTTGGCGGGCGGCGAGGGCCGGCCTGGCGGGCTGAGCCCGTTTTGCCATCTCTAGTTGGGGCACCTTTAATGTATCTTAAGATACGAGTGGCTGCGATAGCATGACTTTGTAATGGGTGAGCTATGAATTGGCTCAATTGTTGTACAGCAAAACTGATGTCAGGACGTGTGGTAGTCAGGTGGAGAAGTCTACCAACTAAGCAACGATAAGCAGTTGCATCTTCAAGAGGAACACCATCGGTTCGACTAAGAGACAAGTTAGAATCCATGGGAGTGATGTATGGCTTTGCAGCTAGAAGACCTGCATCAGAGAGAATTTCAAGAGCGTATTTACGTTGATTGAGGTGAATGCCATGTTTTGACCGAGATACCTCAAGACCCAAGAAATATCTCAATGCACCCAGGTCTTTAATACGAAATTTGTTATGAAGAAACTCTTTTACACGTTGAATTTCACGTGAAGAATTCCCAGATAGAACAATGTCGTCCATATAAACCAGAAGGACCGTAAAATTAAATCCTTGTTGTAAAGTAAACATTGAATGATCCGCTTGGGCTTGCACATATCCAAGGGACAAAAGAGCTGAAGACAGTTTATTGTACCATTGACGACTAGCCTGTCGTAGTCCATATAGAAACTTATTTAAACGACAAACTTGGTTTGCTGCAGTGAGCACAAGTCCTTTTGGAGGTTCCATATAAACTTCTTCGTGAAGGTCACCGTGGAGAAAAGCATTGTCCACGTCGAGTTGTTCAAGAAGCCAACCCTTTGCAGCAGCAACAGAGAGAAGAACACGAAGGGATGTAAGCTTTGCAACAGGTAAGAACGTATCAAAGAAGTCCACACCTTCGAGTTGTGTAAAACCTTTAGCAACTAATCTTGCTTTGTATCTTTCAATTTCTCCATTTGACTTATACTTTACTTTGTAGACCCATTTACAACCAATGGGTGTTTTACCTGGTGGCAAGTCAACTATCATCCATGTATTGTTAAGAGCCAACGCAGAAAGTTCCTTGTCCATAGCAATTTTCCATTGATCACTTTTAATTGCTTGGTTGTATGTACGAGGTTCTTCATAAGTGGTGACAGTGAGACAAAAGTGCTTATATGATGGAGTACAACAATTGTAAGATAAAACATGAGATAAAGGATGACAAATATGGTGTGTTGTGGAATTACCTGATGACGAATGATCCAGCTTTATCGCAGATAGGCTACAATGATAGTCTTGTAAACACCGAGGGGTTGATGTGAACGAGTAGAACGACGCACATGATGTACTAGTTCATCTTGGTTTGTAGGTGGTGTTGGATGGGTATGATTTGGTGTATCTGGGTTATCTTGGGTTCTGGTTGTAATGGGTATGTTTGGTAAAGTGTCATGGTATGGAGGAATGTCTGACGGAAAAATAGGTGAGTTGGTGTCATTATGTATGGGAATGTCTGAAAGATTGGATGTAGGTGATTGGAATGGAAATATTGTTTCATGAAATATAACATTTCTAGAAAGAAAGAGCTCAGTAGATTTCAGATCATATAGAAGATACCCCTTTGTGCCATTTCGAAAACCCAGAAATACTGCCTTTCTTGTTGTATCACCAGAGAAAAGGCTTTTGTCATATTTGGAAGCGGATCAAGGAGCATTAACTGTGATCGTACATGAGCATATTGTTCATTCAGACCTCTCAAAAATCTGATAGTGTGATCATTCTCACGATACAATCGCATCTGTGTTACAGATCCACAAACGCATGGAACAGCAGGATTGGTAAGCGGTCTCAAATTCTCTAATTCCTCCCACATAATTTTGAGTTGAGTGAAATACTCACTTATAGACTTTTCTCCCTGACAGAGTTTGTAAACATCTTGAAGATCACAACCACGGAAAATATCTGCCTGAGAGAAGCGATCTTGTAAATCTCTCCATACATCTGATGCCTTCTCAATCCATAGTATAGACCGAGCAATTGTTTGTGTAATGGATCTGTGAATCCATCCTACAATCATAGTATTGCATCGATCCCAAGCTGAAAATTCAGGATCATGCTCAGGTGGAGGAACAATGGTTCCATTGAGAAATCCAAGCTTATTCTTGGATCTTAAAGCCATAGTCATGGCACGAGACCAGGTGTGATAATTGGCTCCATTGAGGAGATGAGTAACAAGAACTTGAGATGGACTTTCATTGGAGTGTAGAAAGAACGGATGAGCTGGATTCGTCAAGAACTCAGGAAGAGGATTCTGATTAGCCATAGCAAATTCGCTATCAAGAAAAACTATTAATCAACGAAGAAAGAACTGCTACAAGAAATCGATTCAAGAACAACTACGATCCACTGAAGCAGGTACCAGAGTTCCTTAGAGCTTTGATACCATGTTGAGATTTAGAGAGAAGAAACAGAGTATGGTGAAAACTGAATTCATTGATTTCAAAATCTAACTACAACTTTCGTACATATCTTATATATATAGCTATCAACATACACAACTAAGATAAACAAACTAACTAACTGAAAGCCGTTTACATAACTTCCTAACTAACTCATACAAATCCAGCTGCACAGCTTATGTGGCATCTTTTCTATCATGATTGGTTGCTTTAATAAGATGATTATTAAAGGCAACTGAATTGGGCTTGGTTTGCTGCATTTCATTGGGCCACTTTATGTTGGGTACTACGGGTAGCAAGACAATTTACCTCATAACCCAGCCTACAACACTAGCTGCTAGGGTGGTTGAGTTGCTTTTTCCCAAGAATTCTCTGGCAGAACTTTCAATTGTCTGCAAGGTTACAACTCCATTAACAAAAGTCTACATGTTAAATATATAAAACACAATGTTTTAAACAGAAAGGGAAGGCACATACCAATACGATAATTTGGTGAGACCGAGAATTGTTTTCATTGAGGTAAGTCTCTCCTACCTGTCTTTGTGCTGCAAGAATATATAGAGATATATAAAAACCATTAATGTAGTCTCATCCACCAGCTTAAGCTTTTGGGTTGAATTGATTTTTTACATGATAATAGAGACAGTACAAACCAACCTATGTCAAGAATGTTATGCAAATTCCTTTACCTTAGTAATTTGTACCACTCGCCCATTATCTGAACTATTATCTGATTATCGTGTCAGAGTGGAGTTGAGCCAATCGTTTGATTTTCTTAAATGGCCACTTGATATTATATATGCTTTGACTATTACAATTCATGTAGTGTCACACAAGCCGTCAAAGCCATCACTTGAGCATATGAGTTCGATATACCAGCAAACGCAGGATAATTAACAGAATTCAGTATCAACTAATGTAGCTTAACTTGATAGGGTGGGTAGTAAAAGTGGCACCATCTATGAGAAAGCAAAAGAGAAATATAACTCTTGATTGTATATGTAACGTGGACAAGTTTCGGTTCTACCATGATTTTTTCCCCAAACGAAATAAAGAAGCAGCAGCTTTCTACTAAAAAAGAGACAAGCTTGTTACCAAAAAAAAAAGAAAGAGACGAGATTTATCGTTTATAAATCCTTTGGATTACACATACGCTGTATGTCATATAGGATTTCATTGTAAAGGGAAACTTGCATGTTAAGTCCGGCGGGTAGCTAGCTACATTCCGCGAATATTGTTAGGGAAAAAAAAACCAAGAACTTATAAAGCCTAATTTTCATGAAAACTTATAATTCAAAACCTGAACTGCATTGGATGAAATTTAATTAATTATTTTGTATCTTTTGTATCTCTATATCACACACCCTCACGAAGGAGTTATTTGAGCTTCAAGCATAAATATGACACATGATCATTTTTTTGGTCTACCTTGTTCTGTACAGATTCATTTTTTGGTTACCTTGTGTTTTTCTTAATTCCACTTGAATGTGGGGGGCGGTGAATAATCATTTGATCACTCCAACTCTGATACTTAATTAATTATTTTGTATCTTTTTTTTTTTTGAATACAAGCGGGAATTAAATACACAATTTAATACAAACTACCCAAACCTCTTACTACTAGACTAAACCTAATAGCTTATTATTTTGTATCATTTGTCTCTCTAATATGGGTGAATAACGCACATACCCACCTACGTGTCTAAAAAATTTCATAAGACTTAATTAATTATTAACTAAATGGAAGACAATAAGGATCGAACCCGTAATACCGAGACTTTGATACCATATAAAAAAATCAATTCAACCCAACAACTTAAGGCCACCTTAATGATTTTTACCTCACACAAGAACCCACTTGGCTTGAAGGATGGATAATGCACAAGCGCATCTACCTGTATTAAAAAACTCCAGAAGACTTAATTAATTATTAACTAAATAGCAGGCAATATCAAACCCGTAATACTGAGGCTCTAATATCATGTAAATAATCAATTCTACCCTAAAATTTAAATTGTTGAGTAAAATTACGTTAATGATTTTTATATTTCTAAACAAACGAAGAATGCATGTATTGATCCCATCTTATAATTTAGTTTCAGTTTGATGTCCTCTTCAAAACGGGTAAATATTTTCATGAACTTTACATGAAAAATTAATCCCTATAACTTTTTTGAACAAGTCTTAATGGGAATATCAAACTACGAACTGTCTAACACCTAGTGTGAAAGAGTTCTGATTCCCACCGCTCCGCTCTGGTGTTCACAATCACGCTGATGCTCAAATGCTATGCTACTTTTTTTTTTGGATTTTGTTGAGCACATATTCCCATATACCAAACTACATTAAAAACGAAAAATAACTACCAACAAATTGCGGCAGTACAAATACAATAATCAAACCCAGGCAGGGTGAAAATAAAATAAATAAGAGGTTTTCATTACAATACACACAGACATATCCAGTAGCCTGGTGGAATATAGCATCCTGCTACTTTATGGTTTAATGTCCATTCAGTGTAATCTCATCAACCATTGATCACGTGCTTTTTCCACAAATAAGAAAAGGAAAAATCACGTTTGATCTGACCTGCAAATTACTGGAGATCTTCATTCACCCTCTGGTCCAGTAGATTCTACCAAATAGCATAATTAACACGTGAGATATAACACATGAAAGATCTGTGTAAACTTCACAAAATAAAAAGGGCTCCTTTGTGCATCCTGTATCTATAAAAATGTACATATTCTCACACACACACACATATAACCTACTGTATAGGCACCGATCGGCAACCTGGATTAATATAAGGAAGCTCAAAAAAACCACAGGACTCTCGGCACAAAATAAAAAACAATATGGACATGTAACTTGAGAGTCAAGTGCATTGACTATCAATATTATCACAGCTTTCCAATTAGTAATGGTTATTTTCATCAGTAACCGGGTGTTACAATATTTAACATGTTGCTTTTTCATTGTTCTTCCCCCCTTTGTTTTACTTCTGATTTGTTTGTTCCCAAGGAAGAAGGAAGCATGGTCAACTTTAGATTCCATATACATAATTACGATCACAAAGCAGCACATGTGGACCTTACCAGATGTTCGGCATTGTAGCTTTCTTGTTTCACCTTAAAGCATAGGTTTTGTAAACTCCATGCATAGTGCTATATTGTATTTCAGCTTTTAAAACAAGATTTTAGAAGTAAATTTTACACAAACAGAATTGGAAAAACATTAAAACCTAGACTGAAGAACCAAAACACACAAACTGATGATGAGCCGTCTTCACTCCTCAGAAAAGAGCCAAAACAGAAAAACTTACTAATCACATTCAGTTGGAGGAAAATCTATTAAAAGCTACGAATTAATTATATTCGGCAAAGGAAACATTTAAATCTATAAACATTTCGTGAAGTTTGATTGTTTTACCTGTAAAAGGATTTTATCAGGTTTATGGATTGGAAGGCTGAGTTTGACCCAACTCAGCACTCAACATATGATGAAGAAGAACATCAACCCTCTGACTTCGTGTTTTTGTGCTGCAGCAAACCATTGTTGTTAGGTACAAGACAACCATTAATGCCTTTAACTAACAGCCTATGCTTTTGGGCTGGGTTGGTCTTTGACATGGTATTAGAGCATTACCAAATGGTTAGGAGTTCAATCATTACCATCTCATTCCTCATAATTAAATTAAATTGCAGCATATGGTATTATAATGAATATGGGCATTGTCTATGCTTCCAAGTCTAAAGAAATTTTGCATGATGCAGCATGTTAGAGATATAAAACTATTCATGTGACTTCAATTAACAACTAAAGCATTTAGAATGAGTTAGCCTTTGACAAATATAAGAGAAGTAGCTTATCCATCTGCCTTAAGAAACACAAAAACGTTGGCATCCAAAGAAATATTGCCAGCTATACATACCCAATAGATCGCCGTCGATATTTATATCCTTCAACTTCCTATATTGAGAAGGCAAATACAGAGTGAGATTTTGAACATCTTGTTAAAGCTATATATGTAAACTAGCAATCTATAATGTATTATATACTGGCTTTAAAAATCAGAAACAAATCATGTTGAAATCAAAGAGTTACTTTTACATTCAATAAGATTCTGTACAAAATCATCTTTGGAGCACTGAAAGTTTGTAATGTGGATAAGTTGTTTAAGAATCTAGCAATAAACAGATTCCAAGTAAGGAGAAATATATTATGGATATGAATTCAAGTTTCAGTGATTCCCATTACTTGCAAAATATAATAAATCTTCTCTTGCATCATTGATAATATTAGGAAAATGATTGTATCATACAGTGAGCGTGTGGATAATCACAGCTATTCAGAAAAAGTTGCAGTGGAGCTCAGTTTGTTGTCATGTGGTTTACAGAGGAGTCAGTGAGCATGTGTAAGTACCATTGCTCACAAGTATCTGAACTTTTAGTGGGCATAACTAACAATGATGATAAGTTTGATATTTTACGGGAGGAATAGCAGCTGACTAAAAAATTGTTAGAAGTATAAAAGTTGATGTCCCAGTAATTGCATTTGATAAGAACCCCAACACAAATTTGGTTCAAATGTTTAAAATTTTAATTTCCAATCGAACTACATATATCATCAATTAATCGATGCTTGAAGACAGCTTTTTGACAGACACAGCAACTTATATTTCCTTATTGGTAAGATTTCAAGATTAAATAAAAACCTTGTCATTTCCATCACAAGTTTCTGACGACTCAAGCTCCATTTCAGCGAAGAATGCCTCCAAGACAAAAGCAACAACCTGAAATAAAGGAAGGATAGAATCATTTCTAACTTATTAAACATAAGCAATGTGCAAAAACAGTACAATTTAGGCATGGTATAAAACACCAGGCTATTTCATTCCCTTTGATTAGTCATACAAGTATTAATTAACATGATTTCTTTCTTATAACTCCGTTTTCTATGGTAATTACTTTAATTGTAAAGAATTAGTATGTGTGCATGTACGTATGAGTAACACTGTAACTTGTCAATGTTCTCCATTCCAGAGTTACAGTTTGTATATTCAACATTAATGCCAATGGAATTATAAGGTATTAAATAAGGACAAAGTAAATCATACCAAATTCAGAAGCAGCAAAACAGTTATTAAGTAGAAGCTAATGAAGTACGCATTGGTCCAAAAAGTCCCAGTTAACTCCTGGTAGCTCTGAAATAGAAAACCACACAACCTATGTGGTAAGCACATATTGACGTCATGATTTGACAATAGCATAAAGAGTTAATATGACAACTTATTGCAATGACTAACTGATGTGAATAAACATCCTATAATCTGACATTACTCACATGCAGCAAGAAATTTACGCAAATTTTAGATGTATTGTTGTTAATTTGAAAAACAGTGCTTTTGAGTACCAAAAAAAAAAACAGTGCTTTACTACAAACCCAGTGAAACACTCTTAGTAGTATATGTTATGCCTGAAGCAACAAGATGGAACCTGCCCATTGAATGAACACTAAAGATAGCGACAGTACTCATACCTGCATCACTTCTTCCCAGATTCCCAGGACTAGCATATTGAAAAGTGTCACCATTCCATTTGGATAATCATTGAAATTAAAAAGCAAATAGCTATTTTCTGTCAAGAAGAATACTCCAAGAACATTTACCCGAGCAATAATTCCATTTTAGAATCAACATATAGGTCAATATTAAATTTCAGACCTGCTTGTTGACCAAACCCACTCTCATCCCCCAGAAAAAAAAGTTATGTTTAGTAAAACATATTGAAATTACATCTGAGTTTGAAAATTGTGTGGGGGCTATGAAGGAAGAGAAGCGGTTATTAGTTATTACTGGATCAAACCAACTGCTACAAGCTTAAAAGAAATAGTTTTGTAGATCAACAAAGGATACTCATTATCAGCAAGGCTTGTTGCTTCCAATTCAGGGTTTCCAGCATTAACGATTCCACCAAAAATCTACATATAGAAAAATAAACGGGAAGTTAGTTTATTGATAGTGGAAAGAATTAAAAAAGACAATATGACCATTGCGATAGAAAATGAAAAATGAATCCCTAATTTAACTTGTAAATCTATGTAGAAAATGATCAACCACTACAAGCAATTCACACACCTGTACACCAAGTGAGCAATAAATACATAAGACACAAAATATGATCCCTAGGTATGGCATCAAGCTGGGTATAAGAGTTAAGAAAGTTGCCACAAAGCCTCGGTATCGCTTGACATGCATTAGGAGCCTTATCAATCTCAACATTCTAGCAAGGAGGAGATATCGAATCCTGTAAAGAGGACAGGAAAAGCAATGCGTGTTGCATCATCAAAGAAAAGCTACAGAACCAATGGACAACATTCATTGCACAACTTGCCATCTTCAAATGAATATAACATCTTCCAGACATGGTAGGAAAGTAACTGAGTCCAGTATCAAACTTTTTTTTTTTCTTTAAATTCTAATTTTAACAAGGACTGCTACATATTCTTTTTGAAGAAAACTAAACTTGGTCTGGTAAACTAAATACACACTTCAGTATCTAGTACATTTACATAAACCATAATTTGCCTTCACAAAAAGTTAAAAAGTAAAAATAAATAAATCAGAATTCACTGGGAAATAAGTATAACGAGAATCCTGAAAACAAAGCCTTTTCTTTCCCATGAGATAATAATGACGACAATGAAATTTTATATTTATTAGGAAACACTGACAGTGAAGGCAACACAAACATCAATGTAATGTATTAGAACTATTGGGCCTAACTAAATCCCAAAAGCTAGCTCAAAGGAGGAGGATTGCCCAAATCATAGGGGTACTTTGCCTATATACCAAGGGATGTTAACACACACCCTCAAGCTGAGGACTGGACATTTGGAATGTGAAGTTTGCATGACTAGACATTGGTGGATTGCCCAAAATCCTTGGGCAAAGTACCCCTTATAATGATTTGGGCAAATCTTAACCCCCCCCCCCCCCAAAAAAAAAAAAAAAAAAAAAATCCACACACACCCCTTCCCTTGGCTAACTTTTGGGGTTGAGTTAGACTTAGTTTGCTCTCAACTCTAATATGGTATCATGCTATTGCTCTTGGTTTACATACAACAACATTGATCTTTACTACCAACCACAAGTTTCATGTTGGGAGCAGTACTCATACAGGCAACTATGATCAAGGACTATTCACCTTGAATTGGACAAAATATGCGGAATTTCTTACTTTTCGTGGAGGATTAGATCCCAAAACTGGCGGTCTATGGTTGACCGATATTGCACACCATCATTTATCAAAGCTTATCCCAATTATGATGTTGGGCTACTGTATGTGTCTAGTCGTGCAAACTTCATTCTCCAAATGCCCAAACCTGGTTGTCAGATCCCACATCTGCTAGGTATATGGTTAAAGTACTCCTTATAATGACTAGGGGATCCTCCTTCGTTAAGCTAGCTTTTGGGGTTTAGTTAACTATCCTAGGAAAAGTTTTTTCATATATACTAACTAAAAACCTAAAAATTCAAGCACAAGTTGGATCCTGCAATAAGGGCCTTCCAAATAGTTGTTTCAAGCAATTCAGCTCAAGATCAACTGAATCATCTTGTCTCTGTCCATTAATAGGTACAGGTATTACACAAATTCTTTTGTATGAACTTGGACACTACTGATTCACCCTTCAAGTCTCCACCCATTAATACATACATGTGTTTACACAGATTCCTATCCGTGAAATTGGAAATTGTTTATTATTCTACACAATTATGAAAAAAAAAAAAAGTTTATAATTCCAATTTAAACTACACAATTCTGATAAAAAAAATATGCAAAAACTTAAAAATAAAATAAAATAAAAACTTCATTGCCAAATCATTTGATAATTCATACTGTTGGCAAGTGGACAAAAGATGATGTCCAAAAGTCAGTTTTATATGGCACAAAAAGCTTCAATTTTAGGAAATGCACAGATCCATCGACAATCTCTCTCTGAAAATTAGTCAATAACTGTTAGAGATATATAAAACCATTAATGTATCCTCTCAACAACTTAAGCTTTTGGGTTGAATTGGTTCTTTACGTGGTATCAGAGTCTCGATATCACAGGTTCGATCCTCACCGCCCCCATTTAATTAATAATTATTTAAGTCTTGTGGAGTTTCTTAGCACAGGTAGGCTGGGCTTGATGCATAATCCACCCTTCAAGCCCAATGAGCTCTCGTGTGAGGGGGCACGTTAGAGATATATAAAAGCATTAATGTAGCCTCACCCAACAGCTTAAACTTTTGGGTTGAATTGGTTCTTTACAAACAAACTATAATAATTCAATAGCACAACAAATATCAAAATAGACCACTAATGTGATTGAGGATGTTTTTGGTGAAAATAAATCCCAAAAAGTGTAACAATAAGTATTATGTTTCATGCAGTAATTTGGAATTATGAACCAAAATACAGAATTATGAAACACGTGAACATTCATAGTAGAAGCTCATACCATTCTCCATTTGAGAAAAAAAGTAGACCATCAGGTGAAGCAAAAGTTATAGTTTCTCCAATGACTGCAAAATTAAGATTTATCAGTCGGAGCAACATAACTTAGCCTTAAAAACTGGGTTTTCAAGAATTCAGGGCGTAAAAATGAAGGCAATGCATTATGAACATATAATAGCAGAATCTAGACACCAATGATTATCAGTAATATTTCAAAAAAAAAAAAAAAATCGTTAAAAGAAACTGCATGCATTCAACAAGATGTTAAAATATAGAAAATACCAGGCAGTTGAAATTAATTACCAATTATCAATGTGATAATAAAATCAAAGCGATTTGAACCATCCCGCCAATAGTTCTCAAATCCATATGAATAAACCTTTAGAACCATTTCTATTACGTATATCCACCCTGTAAAACAGCAAGGAATGATCAAATGTGAGAATAAAACTATAATAAAAAATTTAATATTCTGTGTGTTACAAGAAACAAGTATCCTAAGTATTTCATATGAAGAAAACAACTATTAACAAAAAATTAACTAACTTGATAAATGAGATTTTTTCCCTATTCTGTTACGAGAGAGACAGAAAGATTATTTACGCATGCTTTACTTCTTCATATTCAATATTTGGTTAATCACTGTAGAGTATAACTTTAAATACTATTGTGAATTTAAAGGTTAATTTAAAAAATTATTTTAAATTAGTTAGAGAGATTTGCTCTATTTAGTTTTTCTAGGTAATTTGACCTTGGAATGCTCATTTGAGCTGCAAAAGGATGTTTCATATCCAAATACTCAGGGAATTTGATAACTAAGATTTAAAAATGTTTCAACCCTTCACATCATTTTTCTTTTGTCATTTACTTTTACACACTGGTTCCCTATTTTCGAAGAGTAGTTCAGAAACCATATATCTCATCAACCACCTTTACTTGTAATCGTAACTTTCCTAACCTTGTCACAAATATTTTGTTTTTAAATAAATAATAGTATTATAACACATCATTCTATGTCAGAAATCAGAATTATTTGGCATGCCAAATCAATAAAAATGAGCTCTTAACAATTTATCATTGAAATCTGGAATTTTCCATTTTTCTAGTCTGTCTTAAATCCATGAAGTTACACTCACAGTCATTTTGAAAAAGGTAGGCAAACTATACTGGAGAGTCTGGCGCCCTAATATAAAACTTGTGTATATACTCGAAACAATACAATTTTTTATATTTAAAAAATAAACTGGCACTGCGATATATTGAAGCACAGAAACTTAGTGAAGAGAGCTTAACTGCTCAATTCAAGCTGTTTCAAAAAAGTTGTTCAAAGAACCATCATTACCTCCTTCAAACCAAGCAATAACTTTTACAGTACAAGAAAGAATTCATACACTGAAACATCAAGACATAACAAGGAATACACTGTTTGCAAGTCCTTACCAAAAATGAACTCAACCACTTGCCACACCTTTTGAGCAGAATTGTTTTCTATATCAAGCTGCAGTTGTGAATTAATAAAAATAATATCAAAATGTTGATATGCATATGCCTTTAGAAATCAGAATCAGTAACAGCATACGTAAGCTAGGTGCACTAAGATGAAGCCTTTTCCCAAAAAAGAAAAAGAAACTATTAACTCTCTGCTATGATACAAACATAGTCTGTCAAAATCAGAAGACTAAGGTGCATTTTTTAGCAGAATTGTTTTCTATATCAAGCTGCAGTTGTGAATTAATAAAAATAATATCAAGATGTTGATATGCATATGCCTTTAGAAATCAGAATCAGTAACAGCATACATAAGCTAGGTGTAATAAGATGAAGCCTTTTCACAAAAAAGAAAAAGAAAAAGAAACTATTAACTCTCTGCTATTATACAAACATAGTCTGTCAAAATCATAAGACTAAGGTGCATTTTGTATATCTATTTAAGAGTATCATTATCTTTGATGAACATAATTAGACAAGTTTTCTAAGGTTGTTCAAACCATCAATCAATATAATACTTAGTGTGGAGCTAAAATTTTATAATTCTTTATAGCTTCTACTAAATTTGCCAAACATAATCTGCCTGAATATCACATTTAATTGATAGTGTGGTCAGAAAAGAAGCAAGAGATAAAAGGTTGCCAAAAATTATGGTAAAATGACAGATGCAGTAGTATCACCCATGAAAATACTTCTAAAACCACTCTTTCCTCTCTTTAACAAATTACTTCTTTTCTCCAGAATAAACTTTTTCTTGAACAGACACAACATTTTTTTTTTTTTCCGTAGAAACAGACACAACGTCTTAAGCTTCTTATTCAACGTTTTATCATCACGCACACACAAATGTATATATATATACACGCATACATACACACATATATATATATATATTATGAGGATTGCCAACCTCCACATGATGTGGAGGTTAGTAAACTCCAGATTTATTTTGGAAAAAAAAACATATATTTCTTTTATAAAATTTCTTGCCATTTTGCTCATTTATACTTGTCCTCATTCAATGAAAAAGAGAATAAATAAATTTTATTTTAATGGAAAAAATACTTGTACTCTCTTTTAATGGAAAGAAAATAAACTTTATTACTAGCTCTACTCATTATTATTAATTCTTAATTATTTAACTTATATTAAAATCACTAATGAACTAATGATATTTAATATATATATATATATATATATAATTTATTCAATAAATAAATAAAATTTAAAACAAAGCATATAAAATAATAAAAATATTTTTAATCAACAAATAGATATATCATTTATAGCATATTATTTGACAAATTGATATGTAAAAAAAAAATTCAATTAATATGTAATTTATAAATATAAAAGTTTATTATTATTATCTTTTATTCCAGAATTACCTTTTTATTTTTTATGTTACATTTTTTATTTAATGAATAAATCATATATATTTAATATTATGACATATTTTAATAAAATTCTTAAACTAAAAATTAATAATAATAAACAGAGTAATAAAGTCATATTTTCTCCTAACAAAGCAAGAGTATTCTTTTATTTTAGTAAAAACAAATCTTTTATTTTTTTTCTTCATTGACCGAGTACCTTAACAATATAGACTAAAATGCAATATGTTTAACTTATTTTTAAAAGAAATTTGAGTGTCTTTGTCAAAATGTAAAGCTTATAAACCACCACATGAAAATGTGAAGGTTACATATATCGTTAGATCTCACGGAAGAGTTATACTTACCACCACAAAAGTTTATCACCCTTACAACCAACTTAATTAATCACCGTTAGATCAGAATTAAATCTAATGGCTCACAATCAATCTTTATAATCCTAATTTTTACTCTTCATCCTCTCACCTTCTCTCTAGGACTGAGAACTCTCTCTCCACCCTTTCTCTTTCGCCGTCAAAATTCATTCCAGTGATCACTGATTGGTTTCGCTGATCTCCACTTTCTCATCTTGTTCACAAGATTGTGGGGTTGAAGCCAAAATAATTGAATTTTTAATCCAAGTAATGATTTTTATTCTGGTTTATATGCTTCTACATCAATGAAGGGTTGTCTTATGGCATGATCACTGTCTGTTTCAGGCATAATGAATCAATCCTTGAAAACTGCCTATAAATATCATGAATTGGTTTTGTTGGCTTGATGATACTGGAGATGCTTATCATGTCGCTTCACGAGTGAAAAGCATGGAGAAGAAGAATTTTTCTAATAGGGAAATAGAAAATGGGAATAAACCTGCAATTTTGACAGAGCGCGAGAGACGAATTTATCAAGTCTGTCATGTGCAATTGGAAAACCTAGAGAGAGAATGGAGAGGGTTGTTAGACCTAGAGAGAAGGTAAAAGTGAGAGAGAATGAAAGGGTAAAAAATTAAGATTATAAGGATTGATTGTGAGCCATTAGATTTAATTATGATCCAACAGTGATTAAATTGATTGTAAGGATGATAAACTTTTATGGTGGTAAACTCAAACATGTTCTTTAAATTTGATTCTAAAAACAAAACAAAAAAAATTAATTTTAATTTTTTTTTTACAAAATAGGCCTTATCAAACGGGTTTTATTGTTTTGAAAACCAAAAAACTATTTTTAAAAACGGTATACAAAGAGGGCCTTTCTGAACTCTTGTAACAACAAAAACAAATGGAGACAAAGCCTTATGTGGTCTACGCTCCAGCAACAGATCATTAGTATTAATGCTACTTTAGTATTGTTGTCTAAACAAAAACCTTGACTTCAGAAGAAAATTTAACCTTTCAAAAGAAGTAGTGAGGGTAAAATTATTAGTGGAAGATTTTGGATTAGAAAAATGGAAGAAAGATGCACAGGTAAATAATCCGAGAGATTCCAACAAATAGGAACACAAAAAAGGGTTTGAAAGAGTTTAAAATACCAAGCATAGAAACCAAATCCGAAGCTTCTCGGTCATTAAGATTTCTAAAGATAAGCAACGACCTTGCTTAGCAGCCCATCAGGCTTCTCATGAAAAACGTTGAGCATAAGGACTTATGTTTCATATGACAAGATTAGATCAAACCAAGTGCATTTTATTCAAAGGATGCCTACTATGCTTTAAGACACCAAACTCAACTATTAAGAGAAAAAATAAAAAAAGCATAATATATATTATCTAAAACTACGGTACTGGAGATGAAGAAAGTGTTTGGGTGAAGCTGTAATAACCTTATAGAATTTATAACTACTCTGAAGGCAAATTGAACCTATTAGTTGAAATGTGGATGGCCTGATTGTAGAGAGCCAACATCTCTAACTCCAAAACCAACCATCCACATGAATGATGTACTTTTGTGAGTTATGCTCAGACCACGTACAAATAAATGTTTTATCTGAACTAGTTGACACAAGTGCTCAACAGAAGAAACGTTCCTTAAAATGCTCTTTTCAAGGCAAAATAATGTTGCATGAGTAGAGAATGGCAAAGAAATTCACAATATCCCCATGACCATTAAAGCTGGAAAAAGTAGGATTGATATCAGGCTGTAAGTAGAACAATCAGCCGTTAGAACTACGCCTATATTTAAAGAAGCAGTGCATAATGAATTCATTAAAGACAATTCTTAAATGAATTTTATGACAAATAGCACCTACAAACTACAAAATCATTGACAAATGCAAGTATATCTAGCATATGGTCACATCAAATGAGTCTACAGTTAAAATGAGTTAATTGTTTGGGAAGGCAAACAAAAATATGTGAATGTGTTTTTTCATTTAAAAACATGTCATACCGTTGTCTCAATAATAACAGCAGCCAGATTCAGTATGAGAATGAAGGACACCAGGTACCCAAACATGGGGCTCTTCACGAAGGCTTTCAATCTTTTTGAGGTAGATGAATTGTAGAATGCTAAATACTCTAAGTAAGACAGCTGCAAGCAAATCAGAGAGTATTAAAGATGCTACAAATCTTTTCCTTTTTACAGTACATTTGGATGAACTTCCAAATGCTTTAAATTTGGAGCATTTGAACTTACAGTATCCTCCTTCTGGAATTTTAAAGCAATGGCATTACAAATATCAGCAAATTCATCCTTGTTTATCTGAAAATAAAAAGACGTTTAAGTTACATTAAAACAAGCATTTACACACATAAATATCATTATGTGCATAAAATATAACAAGAACACGTAAGAACAAATATTACCTTTACATCATGACTATCATCCAGCTCATCAAATATCAACTCAAATTCTTCCCTGGAGATTTTTGGCAAAGTCCTAAATAATACATAATTTCCATCAAAAGTTGCGACGAAAAAGATTTTCATCAAAAAAAAATTTCTATCTAAAATATTGAAGAAATAATCTTAGTCAAAATTTTCGACAAAAATATACTTCGTCGAAAGTTTTTGACGGAAAATAAATTCTGTCAAAAATTTTGTTAGTTATCATTTTCGATAAAAAAAATTTCTGTCGAAACTTTGCGACGGAATTGTTTTTCGATCGAAAGTTTCTACAGAATCTATTTTCCATCGAAAATTTCAAACAAAAAAACACAATCCCCGTGAAACCTCAATAGCCATAGGGAACGCGAATTTTCGAGAGAATTTGTTATCCGTCAAAAATTTCGAAAAAAAAAAATCCACGTGAAACCTCATTAGCCAATGAGAACGCAAAAATACTTTTATATATCAATCCATTTCATTCCCAAACTATTTTTTAGAGTTTCAGGAGCAGAGAAGCCGCCCGCATAGAAGAAATACACAAAGGGGAAGAAATCCAGGGTGGCATTGAAGGCACCGTCGGAGGAGAAGCCGAAGGCAATCAAGATGCTACCAAAGGACGGTGGTGCCGCCGCCAACAAGAAGAAGAAAAAGAGAAAGAAGAAGATACTGCACTTCTATAGTTTTTTTTCAAGTTTTTTTTTTGCATGAAGATAAAGCCATAGTTTTTTTTCTTTTTTTCCAAGTTACAGCTGTAGAAATAGGGTCTGGTCGATCCTTTTGTTGGTATAGATATGGTATGGATTGATGATACTGCGCACTTCTGTTGTACGTTTATTTCAGGAATATTTTACTTTTGATTTTTTGACAGAATTTCGATGCAATTCTAGTAAAATTCAGTTGCAAATTGAGACGGAACTTTTCGATCGAAATATTTTCTGTCAAATTTTTTGACGTCGAAATTATAGACGAAAAAAATTTCCATCGAAATTATACATGCAAAAAATTTCAGTCGAAATTTTCGATGAAATTTTTTTTAAGTTTCATTACATATATATTCTATGGGTTTAGTGTGTGTTCTTTAAAAGGACACACACTTAGGTCATTTTAGGAAAGAGGTAGACACAAAAAGGTGGGATCTACACATTTATATTTTTTGTCTTTATTTTTTTTCAATGGGACCCACACCTTTTTGTGTTTATCTTTCACCTAAAATAACCTAAGTGTGTATGTCCTTTTATCCTAAGTGTGTGTCCTTTAAAGGACACACACTTTCCCATATTCTATTATGGCTTTATTTTTTATGGAAAAGTTAAACTTTCGATGGATTATTTTTTGTTGAAATTTATTTTCGTCAAAAATTTCGTCTCCTTTCGACGAAATATATTTCGATGGAAAAATTCTGTCGAAAATTCCATCAAAAAATGTTTTCCATGAACTTTTTATCGTTTGCAACGGAAAATTTCCGTCGAAAATATGGTATTTTCTAGCATGGAGGGATGGTGGTGCTTCGTGGTGGATGGATCTTGATAGCTATTTGTGGTGTGTAAGGGACTAAGGGCATATAAGTAATTTTCTATATTTACCCTCCCATACCCTCCAAATTGGGGTAACTTTGATTTTAAGGGTGAAAAGAGTTTTGGAGGGTTTTACAAAAATTTCCAATTCCCTTTCCCTATTTTTTAAACTCACAAACAAGGGAAAAGCATAAGGAAAACTTTCCCCTTCCCTCCCTTCCCCTCCTAAGAGTGACTCCCAAACACACCCTTAGAGGAAAATGAGCAAAGATCATATAAGGGTGAGTCACGAAAAACTGGGAAATATTCAATTAAAGAGATTGATTATTCTCATCTACAAATATATATAAATCTTCACATATACCAAAAATATTATCCTTTTTTCCAAAATCATTTTGAGCAAGCAACAAACTAATAATATGATAAATCTGAAAGCACAATGAACATGAGAAATAAAGTAATACCTGTACTTGTTCAACTCCTCAAAGAGCCTAATGCATTGATTTTTGTTAAGAGATCCAACATTCTGCGATCACGAAACAGAATCTTGAACAGCTTTAGAATAAGTACTAACAAGTTGCATTCAGTCGCAAAAGAAACTAGGGGTGTGTAGGGATCGAATTAAATTGAATTTTTTGAAAAACCGAACCGAATTGGTTTAAACAGTTCGGTTCAGTTCAAAACTGGTTCGGCTCGGTTCGAAAATGGTTCGGTTTGGTTGGAAACGATTCGGAACCGGTTCGGGTCAACCCTATTCTGAAAAGAAATTTTTTTTTAAAGAAATAAAGTAATAAAAATCAGTTCGATTTGGTTCAAAGACGGTTCGGTTCTAAAACTGTGCGGTTCTTGAGCTGGTGTTAAAAACCAGTTCGGTTCATGAACTGGTTCTTTAAAAACCGGTTCGATTCATAAAATGATTTTTAAAAACCGGTTATTTTAAGTCAGTTCAGTTCGGTTCATGGTTCGGTTCAGTTTTTTGATTATTTTGAACATCCCTAAAAGAAACCTATACCAAAGCATAAGAATCAAGAGATATAGTCATAATTTCTTAACAACAGAAGACCCCATAAAGAACAATTACATCCTCACACCATAGAAATAACTTTTCGTTTAGAATAACGTTATTATTGACACTACACAGTAGCACAGCCCCTTTTAATACTTTATATTGAGTACTATAAGCATTCAAGCACACACAATCAATTTAATACTAGGGATATCTAGATAGTAGCATCAACAGCATCTAAACAACTATCATTTTAATAAACTGTGTTCATGCAAAAACAATTCATCGGCCTGTTCTTAACAATTTATAATTATAGGTTGATTGGTTCTTCGACCAAAAGAAAATGTCGATGCCAGCCTAATTCTAATCACTCATCATACAAAATATCCTGACTTCTGAGACAAAAAACATAATGTGTCCTTAAAATGTTTAATCTCTTGAATCAACAAAAGAAAAAATTATTTACTCCATTTATTATTTATATTTTATAAGGGATAGGTTATCCTGCCTACTCTTATTTTGCCTACCTCTTTCAACACCGTTAGATTACAATCTCATCCAATGATAGAGATTTACGATATAAAATCAACCTTTTTACCCTTTTCTCTCTCCCACTTCCCCTCACCCTTTCTCTCTCCCCCCTTTTTCTCTCCTCTCCTTTTTTCTTCCTCTCTGCGGCATCAGAATACTGAAACGATTTTGCAGTTTATGTACACCAAAGCAATTCTGAAGGGCATCAAGTTTCGCTAATTCAATCACCCTTTACTTGTAATTGACAATCTGTTGCTAATTGAATTTTTATAAAATATTATGTTATATACAAAATAAGGATCAGATTCATGGCTTCATCCCATATCATTGCTTTTTGTGAGCGTATGAATTAATAGAACTTAACAATTATGAATAAATATATATTGATATGTTTCAATTATGAACCAGGATCATCCAATTTATCCAAAAAAACAGATCGTCCAAATCCAGATTCGAGGTTCCAAACCATTCTTAGTCATTCATACCCCCAATCTAATTTATCGTGTTGCCTTTTGATTTTGAATCTGTCAATTACAAGTGTATCAAGAAGGATGATTGCAATTTTCAAAAAAAAAAAAAAAGAGAAAAGAAGGATGATTGTTATAGCCGAGGAAGAGAGAAAGGGGAGGAGAGAGAAAGGGTGAGGAAGGAGAGAGGAAGGGGTAAAAAGGTTGATTTTATATCGTAAATCTCTATCATTGGATGAGATTGTAATCTAACGGTGTTGAGAGAAGTAGACAAAATAAGAGTAAGCAGAATAACCTATCTCATTTTATAATCTAAACCAGGTTTCACTCCTTTAAACAACAACAAATCCCAAGTTTTAAATCATTTTAAAATTTCTCTCAAGTTATATATTCAGAATTAAATTGGGCAAAACTCAGTTTATACTTATAGGTTGATTGGTTCTATGAGAAGCAGAAAAAAGTTGATGCCAACTTAATTCTCATCACTCATCAGACAAAATATCCTGACTACTAAGACAAAAAAAAAAAAAAACAATGTTTCCTCAAAATGTTTAATCTCTCTAATCGACAAAAGAAAAAAATTATTTACACATTTTATTCTTTATATTTTATAATCTAAACCAGAATTCACTCCTAAACAACAACAAATCTAAAAGGTCCCAAGTTTTGAATCATTTTAAAGTCTCTCTCAAGTTATATATTCTGAATAGAAAAGGGCAGAAATCAAATAAATGCCTCTAATTTTCATGTCATTTAAGATGAAACTATTAATACAGTTATCAGTTTACAAGTTGTCCTCCATCTCAAGTTTTTATTTGGAATATGGAATCTGTCCACCTAGCAAGAGCATTTTAAAGAAGTTGAAACCACCGTGCCTCCAACTCTTTCAAGCTATTGGCTAACACCGTACTTACCCCATGGTTAATAAGTTCTCAACACAACTAACACACCAAGAATTATTGATCTTATGAACCCCAACATGGAAGTAGCAATTTTACTTTCATGCAATGTTTAAAAGATTTTTATGACTTGTAAGTCAGGAAAATACCATTGATAGTGTATCTATACCCTAACATACATTAAGAGGCTGTAGATGCCTTCAAAAAAGAGAAACATCCTGAAGTCTTCTGTTTTATCAGCTATTACAAATAAGAAATATCATCTTTGAACTCTGATGAGCTCACTTCCAATCTTCCTAAAGATCCAGTGAGTTCTAATTATGTCGTCAATTGTTATCAATGGTCTCATTTGAGTTCATAGTTGTCAGTATTTTCTCTGTTAATTTTTATACCCTCCCTGACACATTTATCAATTATTAACTATTCTCAATGCACAATTTGATCCTTCTCAACAGAAAGGTTTGAACATTATGTTATTCTAATTAAAGAAAAAGGTTAATCATAATTTTACAAATCTTCTTCTATACTCCCGTGAATTTATTTTGTACATATATAATATTGTCTTCTCTTTTAAACATTTTAACGTGAGTAAAACAAATTTTCTTCTGGATACCAAAAAATATTGAAAGAAAAACACCCAGAAGAAAGAAGTGAAAAAATAAAAAATAAAAAAATTCCACATTCATATAGCTACCACTAATCACATCACATATCAAAATCAAAAAAAGAAAGAGAAAATGAAACATGTTTGACATCAGCAGGGCAGCTGTGTCTGACAGTGGAACTGCAAACTAGAACATGGAAAATCACACTTACATTTGTATCTAAGAGAACAAAAGCTTTCTCCAACATAGTTCTTCTCATACGATCCATCTCAAAAACTTGTTTGACAAGCTACAACAAAAGAATATTCAAGCACTGTTATCATTTGTTTTAATATCCATTCTAGAGTTATAATATACAATCAAAATTCGTCTACAGCATTCCAGGTTACGTAGCTAAATAGGAAAAGATCAACACATATCCAATAGTTTCAACTATCAGGTTTTAATAAAGAAAATTAATGGTACTGAAAAAATTACCTGACTCTTGAAACTCTCATAAACAACGGCAAGGACCAAATTTGTAACAAAGTAAACCCCCACCAGCACAAAGAGAATGAAAAAAATGCAATACCAGCGCGAAGCCCTTAAAAGCCAAAAAATGGTAAGGATTGATGATTGATGATATCTCAAATTGAAAGGACAAAGTCGTCTACCCAGGCAGATTCAAACGGTAAAATTCAAACTCTTACTTGTATGCGGGAACCCAAACATCTGGATTATTGGATGTGGTAAATAAAATAAACATCTGGCACAACGTAGTACCATAGGAAGTGAATACTGTTTTCCCCTGTATTGTATCTTCAAACATCACGTAAGCCACCCAACTGGCAAAAAGAAGAAACAGAAGCCCCAAAGCCTGCAAATGAAGAGCATTAGAGAGTACACAATGTCCAGTAAGAGAGTGAAACAATTTGAAATAATCCAAATGTAGCATTCAAGTGAAACTGTTACGATCTTATTTGCAAGGTATGAGACTTGGAGTCCCACATTGGTTGTATGGGCAACTAATATGGGTTTATAAGGCCTTGGGCACTCCCACCTTTTGAGCTAGCTTTTGAGGTGGTGCACCTCAAGGTTCTTATCAAATAGTATCAGATCCTTCCACTATGCCTCCCGGTTGCAATCGAGCGACGCGGGTGGTGACGCCGGCATTGCAGTGTTCACCCGGGACTAGTAAAAGACTAGCGCAAAGCCAGCCCGCGTGGGCGCCCGAGCTGCGGAACGTGGTGGAATGTTACGATCCTATTTGCAAGGTATGGGACCTGGAATCCCACATTGGTTGTATGGGCAACTAATGTGGGGTTTATAAGGAGGCCTTGGGCACTCCCACCCTTTGAGCTAGCTTTTAGGGTGGTGCACCTCAAGGTTCTTATCGGAAACCCAGTAGATTTTAAATATATAATGACATCCTCATTATTGAAAAAGTTTCAAACAAGAAAAGCAAAGAGGAAGGCCAAGGAGAAACAGTATGAAAGTGAGCAAACCAAGATGTTTAAGTATGTGAAGAGCATTCCAGCCAAGATGACGATGGTTTCTCGAAGCTCCCTGACATTAAAGTCAAATGTAGAATTAGGCTATCTAAAGAAGGAGGTTATACAGGACTTTTCCTTAGGCTGAATAACAAATATACATGAATTTCACAATGTAAGACATATGACTCATGAACCATGATAAGTAACATAAAGTAATAAATTATTAAACGTTAATGTAGAGAACCAAATCAACCTAAAGCTTAATCTGCCACCTCATGTGATAGCCCTTAAGCATTGAAGCATGTACAAAGACATGACAAGCCCAATTTATCCTAAAATTATAAAATAATTCAAATGATAGAGGTAATGAGGATTGAATTGTTGATCCCTAGGTCATGGAAATTGTTAGCAACCCAGAAACAGATTACAAGTTGTCAGAGAGATGATAAGAACAGACAAAGGAATAGGGAAATAATAAGAAAGTTCTCCTTCCAAGAGTTTTTCCTTAATACAGCCCCTTTCCACAGCAGAGATAACGCTTAGTTCCCAAATGATAACAAATTCCAATGCAACGTATCAATACCATCTCCATGGAGTTCAACCTTGTCCTTAAGGTTGAAATCTGATTGCTGATAGTCTGCGCATCCATCCCTCAAGTAGCCTCCTCTGGTGGCTTAGAATGCCCTTAATGAGAGCTTGGGCCAGCCTTTCTCCTTGCCAAAAATCTTATGAACTCCAGCATGTACCAAAATGGACTTCACAATTGAAACAACACAATATATCCCCAAAATATTGGCTCGAAATATTTCTCCCGGAGAACATAAGAAGATTTAACTCGCGACCAAATATAGCAACAGTGGACTCCAAACACTCAAAAGATAGCCGAAGCAAGAATCATAAAACTCATGATCTATGCAATAATATCTTCCCCAAACATTTCGATAAACCCAGCATATGCATAGATTATTGAAACTATGGCACCCTTATTAAGGGTAATGTACTTAAGAAATCGGTTGGCTGCGAGAAATCTTGAAGTCCCGATAAACAGAGATACCTAAATCTTGGATTATCTGTACTTTCCCTCTGGTATGCTTACTATGCAATGGCTCGAATTTGGTCCAGTAGCAGAAGAGGGTTGCCGGAATGGGAGCTGATGATCCCAATGCAGAAGCTTCCGGCTGAACTAGATGAAACTTGAGTAGCTGTCCCTAGCATCGCTTTAACGGTTGCCCCCACTTCCTTCACAAAGTGACTCTGGGTAGCGCATTTTTCCCTACCACTAGGAGGAACTTGGTGCTGGATTCCCTCTGTCTAAAAATTTAATTAAGAGAGTATATTTTAATTATTTCATAATTTATTACATATAAGTATTGTATTACAACATTAAAAAATTTTGTATCATTGTATTTCATTACAACATTCCCGAAAATTTAAAAGTGCATCACTTATTTTACAACATTAGAAAATTTTGGATCCTCCCGTTCTGCATTGTATTTTATTACAACATTTCCGAAAATTTTGAAGTGCATCACTAATTCTAGAGGAGTCAAGTCCCTCGTATCTTTTAATATTTCATAATTTGCTTCGTTATTTAATTAGAGTTGAATCTACTATTTATATAAATAATAGTTTGTGCATTATGCTTTTATGCTTTGTAACACATATTTCAACTAATATCATTTCAAATTATTTTACCTCTACTTTTTTTCTTCCATACTTGAAGCAGCAGAACAATGATTACAAAATTTTCAAGCACAGGTCCAAAAGGTATAATCTGCAATAGTATGTTTACTCCAACGTAAAATTTAAAATAAAGATTGGTCAAGCAATACCTAATATTCAAAACGAAAAGAACAACCCTGATATATGGTGCAATTCTGAATGGTAGAAAATCAAAGGCCAGCGGAGACATAAAAAGAGCATAAACCAGCATATCAGCAACGAGAACTAATAAACAGAAGACCTGGAAATACCAACAAATCAATTTATTAGTAGATTAAAGTATACATGAAATAATGGATTTTAAAACTAAGGATAAATGAGATTGATATGCTTTCTCCCTCCTCCATATTGACCAAATGCCCCATTTTTATAAAACTACCAATCTAAAATATTTTAAAAACTATTTACACATTTATTCTATTTGACCAAAGTTGACTGTGTAGGCCTCCTTAAAAATTTAAACTTTACTTCTGGCGTGATTTGTCCTTAGATCAAAGTTAATTGCATGGCCCCACTGAAAACCAAAGGGAGCATGCCACATGTAAAGTACGAGTTTCAGGCAAGACCCACACAATCAACTTTGATCCATATGAGATAAATTAGTAAATAGTTTCTATAGATAGACGGATTAATAATTTTTTCTTTTTTTTAATATAAGGGCACTTTGTTCAACCAGCCGATATAATGTCCGTATTCTGTGGGCATGTACATAGTGTCACACACAAAATCAAAATTTAATGCAAGAAAAATTTGTATCATAACACAATCGGGGGAAGGAAGCAAGCATTGCAGAATACCAGTAGCTCGTTCTTATTAGTTGTTAGTCATTATGATATAATTGTTGTAACATCCCAAATTTAAGTAGAAAAAACCATATCAATAGTAATTATTGTGGTAGGTTTTAGTTTGCTTAATATACACACACTATGTATTTACACTCGTCTCCACTATTAATGTCATAACCAATTAAACTACTGTTATGGAGGAAATTAATTCACTTTTCCTTGGGAGTCTTTCTTACATAGAAATTATTTTCCAAAACAATAAATTTAACCTTCATAATGTAAAATTATTCCCAACTAGTTTGGGATAAAGATGATGTTTAATGTGAAACTATTATCTCTCATCTTGTTTTAGATACAAGACGAAAGAGGGTTTAGGCCTTGCTAATTTGGTGTCCAAAAGTGTTGTTTTAGTTTGTAACCACATATGACATTTCCCCTTCGAATCAGAGGCGTCTACCTTGTGGCATAAAGTTATAAAGAGCAAGTATAGTTAGCACCAAAATGGATTGGATGCTGTTAGAATAAATGGGTGTTTGAGGGTTTATCTTAAGGATGGGTTGGGCTAGTTTATGTACTTACCCTTATTCTTCATAAAAACACATATAAAGGAGGCAAGTTCGTCAAGTTAGTTAATCCCATTTGCGATTCTTCCTCTCCTCCTCTCTTGATACTATGCCACAGAAAGAACACTTCAACTCACTTGAGTCCCTAAAAATTTCTCTCTCTGGGATATAGTTCCTTTAGGCCTTTGATTTCTCATTTCTCTAAAGGTGGGAATGGTTCTTGGCTTAGATTCCATGAAGATATTTGGGTGATGCTATCCACTTTTCAAAGGCTTTTTCTCACACCATCATCATCTACCTTCCCTTCACTGAACCCCCATTCAAAAATTCAACGGTACTCAAGGTTCCAACGCTTCCTTAAACTTCCATTCAGGAACCTTAATGATACAAAAACTTTTCAACTAGATCTCTTTTATTCGTGCTTGATTCTTCTTATTTTTCTTCCAACTTTAACAGGAGAATTTGGAATCTGGACTCCTCTGGAATGTATTATGGTAAATTTAACTCCAATGTTGAACCCCATTCTTTAAATTGAGAAAAATTTCTTCCCGATAAACAAATTTGGGCATAAAAAAACCCTTCCAGTAGGGCATTGTGTTGGGCAAGGTTTATCTAGGTACAATATTTTGATTGCGCAATTTTACAAATTGAGAAATTATGCATAACTAAGTCATAAAATTGTGGAAGTAGGGAACCATTGACAAAGATGTTTTAATATATATAAATTATATCAACATAAAAAAATTATTATATTACGCATAAGGTATTGAATTAAACTAAAAAGTTTAATAATTGATCCTTAAGTTTCAAAAAAATTATGTCTCAAAACATTATGTAACATTTGGTCAAGCCAAGCCAGCTAACCAGACTAAAATCTACAATCTAATTTTTCAGAACCTGGACCCCACCCAATTGGTTTTGGCCGAGGTTAGGTTGGGCATTGAGCAACCCTACGGCCCCTACCTTTGGGAGGTCGAGTCCGTTGTTCAAAGTTGCTCCTAAGGAAGAGCTTTGTAAACATGTAGGTAGAGTTTGGTAAACATGTTAGAAAGGGGCAAAACATTACATATGGATTTTATTCTGTATATGTTTATTTTAAAATTAGATTAAAATATAGTACATTTAATTCCACTAAGAAGGATGGAAACCAAGGAGAACAGAATACAACAGTTGATGTGTGGATTTTCAGAACTAATAAAGCCTTATAGTTTCCTACTAAATTAAATGCATTAGTAGCATCTTGAAACAGCATACCTTCAATTGATTAATAGCTCGTTTCCAATATATACCGGACCCTTCGTATGATATTGGGAAGAAAGTATGTATGATAAGTAAAATAAGAATTATTCCCTGTATTACACAGAAAAAAAGGTTATGTAAGACAAAATACTACATAAATAGTCTAGAAATGAATACAAGGACACTTCAACAACCCCACAGATCAAGCAAGATACCCATACCATAAGGAATTGGTCCAATTCCTTATGGTATAAGCCACTCACAGTATTTTTTTTTAATAAAGAACAAAATCTTATTAGAAAGAAAACATAGAAGGTACATCTGAAGGGAGGATAAAAAAATCCTCCTTAAAAGAGAAGAAATAAACGACACAACAAGTCAAATTGGCGAAAAATGTAAAAACGTTTTTGCAGGTCTCTAATAGAAATGCCATTAAATGATTACGAGTAAAGCACCAAAGAAAAAAGACACACCCAGTAGATATGCATAAATGACAAAAGAAAACCATCAAAGCAACCAAGTGAGGATAATTTGGATTCTACACTTTATCACTCCAAAACACAAGCTTACGCAACTCTTCCAAAAGCTTAAGGTATAGATGAACGGTTTTATATTTAAATTATATTTGTCACTCACTTATTTCACAATATTTATTAAAAGATTATTAGAAGAATAGGGGCGGCAAGGATTTAATTCCAAGCCACTTGTTCATAGAGGCTCTAAAACCAGGTCAGACAATTAATTCAACCCAAAAAGCTTTAGCTTTTAGGTGAAGCCATGAATGGTTTTATATTTATATTATATTTCTAACACTTAATAATTACACTCACCAAAAATATCCAGAATGAGACATCCAGTAAATAAGATAATGACACAGACAGTCAGACAGGTACTTTTAGCTGTTTCACTTAAATTTCAAAATGTAGGTGAATAACAAACTCAATTTCAATTCGGGAATGACTCCAATATACCAAACGTAATCACCATTTTCAAAGTGACTACAACTAAAAAGTTTGTCAGCAATTTATCCAATAAAAAGAGAGTGTCTGAAGTGCTGCACTCTTACCTCATAAATAAGACATTCTGCAGCAGTTAGATATGGCAACTGTCCCAAAAAGAAATACTCTCTATCGTTGCAAGAATGTGTGCTATTTCTTTCACACCATAAAGGTTTCTGTACCAAGTCATTCACAGTATGAAATATCTTCTTTCTATTGCATTTTCATTTTCTTTAGCCTAAAAGCCTCAAATACAATTAACAGGAACTAAAGTTCAAGAGAAGCTTACTACTAACCTCAAAGAAATTCAGGACTATCAAAGCAAAATAACCAAGAGACCAGATGAGATTGCATTTAGTGAATATAAAATAAAATCTTGCATAACTTTGAAAGCTTGATGAGTCAAGAATTTGCACAGGGAGACCAACACCATCTTCAGCCTGCGTAATACATTTCCAACCAGAATGACAAGTAATTAACTGACCCGCATTGAAACGTATCAATAATGTAAGGGGAAAGATAGTAAAATATATATGTCAAATAAAAAAAATTAACCAGAAAACATCAATACCCAGGGAAATATTTTGTTCGTTTGTTTTTTCTAATTTTACTTTATCTACTTTCTCCTAGGTACACACTCAAAAAGGCTGTCAAAATACACATGATCAGATAAGAAAAACAACAGACGCAGAATCAGAAAAAAAAAAAAAAAAACTAATAGCAAGTTTAATGTAATGCAAGTTTCTTTTTGAAAGTCAGTGCACAGTTCTAAATGAAAGGGCAAGAAAAGATAGTGTTCTAGCTCGTAAAAACAAGAAGGAACAAGTTTTAAAAAACAATGCATTGTTGGAGTATTCAAACGAATGTTAAATAAATGAAATTATTCATGCTTGAATCAAACAGAAAGTGAAGAGGAATTAGAACCACTGTGATCCTTTTCTAACTAATTTATAACGGAAAATTAACAAAAGGAAACTCTTGATAAAATATTTAACATGAAGGCAAAATAGCCACATTTTTCCACAGAATTGCCATATTTTATTCAAGAGTTCCTTTTTAGTAATTTTTTTTAAAAAAGGGAAAAATCTAACTAAAAATGGAATTTCCAATACAAATTGTTATATAAAATACTGTTTCACCTTATCAATTTACGATTAAAAATGGAGTGAAATAGCTGTTGAGAAATGATCCAAAATATAGTAACTGTTTCAGCTATAATTTAGGAAAATCTAATATGCCATCACTCTGTCAGTTAGGATTGTTTATATGCATTCCTGATTTTTCTCTTCCTGTATTTGCACGTTAGTTTCACTCTCAATTAGTGGGAGTTGGTTTTCTTTTCAGTTATGTAAAATGCCTATTTAAAGGCTGTATTTGTTATTCAATAAAATGTGGCAGAGTATTTTATTCAACACTGTGTTTGTTTTTGCCATCGTCTATTTTATTTCTGTTAAGTTCCAACAATTGGTAATCAGAGCAAGGTTCGTTTTTCAACCGGGCGTCTGATAGAGTGAGTGAAACACGTGAGGAAAGACAAGTGAAACATCTAAAGTTCCATGCAATGGCAACAAGTGGGTCCTCAGCTTCGCAGCCGCTCATTCCTGTGTTCAATGGCGACAAATACCACTTCTGGAGTGTCAAAATGAAGACATTATTCAAATCACAAGATCTTTGGGAGCTTGTTGAGGAAGGTGTGCCCGAACCAGATGAAGCTGCTAGATTGAGAGAGAATAAGAAGAAGGATGCAAAAGCACTTTTCTTTCTTCAACAAGGTGTTCATGATGATATCTTTCCTAGGATCATGGGGGCAACCACCTCTAAGGCAGCATGGCAGATCCTACAGAAGGAGTTTCAAGGTGATAGCAAAGTCATTGCAGTCAAATTGCAGATGCTCAGACGTGAATTTGAGACTGCAATGATGAGGAGAAATGAATCAGTTCAAGATTTCCTTTCGAGAGTTTCAGCATTAGTGAGTCAAATGCGTATTTATGGTGAACAGTGTAGTGATCAAACTGTTGTGGCTAAGGTGCTAAGGAGTTTAATACCTCAATATGATCACGTGGTAGCAGCTATTGAGGAGTCAAAGGATCTTACTACTTTTACCTTTGATGAGTTAATGGGTTCGTTGCAAGCCCATGAAGCAAGAATTAATCGACCCACTGAACAAGATGTGGAGAAGGCATTTCACATAAAGGGGATGTCTTCAACGACACAAGGGTTCATGCGTGGTGGTGAAACAACTTGGAGAGGAGGAAGAAGTGCAGGTCGAGGACGTGGAAGAGGTCGAGGCCAAGGTGTTCAATGCTTCAATTGCAGGGGCTATGGTCATATCCAAGCAAACTGCAGGTCAAGAAAGAATCAGGCAAATTACATAGAGGAAGCTGAAAATGAAGAGGAAGGAGATGATGATCACAAGTTGTTCATGGCAATCGTGGAAGAGGACTTGGATAAACAAAATATTTGGTTCTTGGACAGCGGGTGCTCAAACCACATGACATGTATCAAAACCCTGTTTGAAGAGTTGGATGAAAGCTACAAGAAAGAAGTAAGACTTGGTGACAACAAACGAATTCAGGTTGAAGGAAAAGGCACGGTTGCAATACAAAACAACAATGGTAAAATGAACTATCTTTGCAACGTATTCTTTGTCCCATGTTTGTCTCAAAATTTGTTAAGTGTTGGACAATTGATTGCAAGTGGATATATGGTGGTGTTTGGTGATTCTGCATGTCTAATTAGAAGCAAGAAAACAGGTGACGAAGTGATAAAAGCTAGCATGACTAAGAACAAATTGTTTCCTGTGGACTTTTCCAATTTGGAAAGCTGTGTGATGATAGCAAAAGAAGATGAAGAAACAAGGCTATGGCACAAGAGATATGGACATCTCAATTTCAAAAGCTTAAAGCTGCTGCAGCAAAAAGAAATGGTGAGAGGAATTCCAAAGCTAGAAACATTGGATGTTTGTGAAGCTTGCATCTATGGAAAGCAAAGTAAGAAATATTTTCCCACAGAGAAGGCATGGAGGGCATCAAGCAATCTAGAACTGATCCATGCAGATCTGTGTGGACCAATGAAGGCAGAAACATTTGGTGGAAGTCGTTTTTTTATGCTCTTAACAGATGATCATAGTAGAATGAGTTGGGTGCATTTCCTGCAAAACAAAGCTGAAGCACTTGAAGTCTTCAAAAAATTTAAACTCCTAGTTGAAAAGCAAAGTGGCCAGCATGTCAAGGTGGTGAGAACAGATCGAGGGGGAGAATTTACTTCACATGCATTCAACTCTTTCTGTGAAGAACATGGCATTCATCGAGAACTTACAGCACCATACACCCCAGAACAAAATGGTGTAGCGGAGAGGAAAAATTGCACTGTGGTAGAGATGGCACGAAGCATGATTCAAAAAAAGGGGCTGCCAACAAAATTTTGGGGAGAAGCAGTTGCCACAGCAGTATATCTCTTAAATATTTCACCAACAAAAGCAGTTCCGAATCAGACCCCATATGAAGTATGGACTGGAGTAAAACCTGGGGTAAGTCACTTAAAAGTTTTTGGCTATATTGCTTATACTTTAATTGCTTCACAAATTCGCAGCAAACTAGATAGAAAAGCCATAAAGTGTGTATTTGTTGGATACTCAACTAGTTCCAAAGCCTATAGGTTGTACAATCCCACGAGTGGGAAGATTATTATTAGTAGAAATGTAATTTTTAATGAGGAAAGAGGATGGACGTGGAAAGAAGACAGCAAAGGAGGAATCCAACTTGAAGAATTAGCAATAGAAGAAGAGCAATCTAATGATGAAGAAAAGCAAAATGATGGTGAGAATTTACTCCAAACTCCACCCAACACTCCAGGAAGCTCTAATGTATCCACACCAGCAACTACTCCAACAAGTAGTGAAACAGTCACTGATTCATCTGACGAGGTGGGGCCACAAGGTTACAGACCCTTAACAGATATTTATGAGGCAACACAAGCCTTGTTTGATAGCTGATCCCAATTGCTTTGAGGAAGCAATCACAAAAACTGAATGGAAGAAGGCTATGGAGGAAGAATTAAAGGCAATAGAAAAGAATGAAACATGGGAGCTGGTGGATTTTCCCAACAGTAAGAAGGCAATTGGAGTAAAATGGATATTCAGAACCAAGTATAATGCAGATGGGAGCATACAAAAGCACAAAACAAGGCTGGTGGCAAAGGGCTATGCACAACAATATGGAGTTGATTATGAAGATACATTTTCTCCCGTTGCTCGATTTGAAACAGTAAGAAACTTCTTAGCTCTTGCTGCACAATTAAATTGGAATGTGTATCAATTTGATGTCAAATCAGCCTTCCTCAATGGTGAGCTAGAGGAAGAAGTCTATGTAATGCAGCCTACTGGATTTGTAGTTCAAAATAAGGAAGAAAAGGTGTACAGGCTAAAGAAAGCTCTCTATGGGTTGAAACAAGCCCCTAGAGCATGGTATGGAAAAATCAACTCCTACTTCATTGATAATGGATTCAGCAGAAGCAAAAGTGAGCCTACACTCTATATTAAGAAGGAAGGTAAAGATACCCTGTTTGTAAGTCTTTATGTTGATGATATGATTTACATGGGCTCATCATTTGTCATTATTAGAAAATTTCAATCAAGCATGAAAAAGGAGTTTGAAATGTCAGATTTGGGTTTATTGCATTATTTCCTTGGAATAGAAGTGAAGCAGGCTGAAAATGGTATTTTTATCTCTCAAAGGAAGATGCAACAGATTTATTGAAAAGGTTCCATATGATGGGGTGCAAAACAGCTGCTACACCAATGAATACAAATGAGAAATTGTTGCTGAATGATGGTACTGAAGAAGCTAATGTACAACAATACAGAAGCTTGGTAGGTGGTCTTATTTATTTAACTCACACTAGACCTGACATCTCTTACTCTGTTGGAGTAATATCCAGGTTTATGCATACTCCTACAAAGCATCATTATGGAGCAGCAAAAAGAATTCTGAGATATGTAGCAGGAACTCTAGATTTTGGAATATGGTATAAGCAGGTGAAACAATGCAATCTGGTTGGATATACGGACAGTGACTGGGCAGGATGTATGGAAGATCGTAGAAGCACTACTGGGTATGCATTCTATTTTGGATCTGGTGTCATTTCATGGAGTTCAAAAAAACAAGCCACTGTCGCATTATCCTCTTCAGAAGCTGAGTTTATTGCAGCAACTGCAACAGCATGTCAAGGAATTTGGCTAACCAGAATACTAGAAGATCTTGGACAGAAGCAAAGAGAAGCAACTCAAATTTTTTGTGATAATAAAGCAACAATAGCTATGACCAAGAATCCTGTGTTTCATGGCAGGACCAAGCATATTGATATAAGGGCACATTTTATTAGAGACCTGGTTGCTAAAGAGAAGATAAACTTGCAATATTGCAGTAGTGAAGAACAAATTGATGATATCCTCACAAAACCACTTGCACGAAGCAGACATGAGCAATTGAGGAATTTACTTGGTGTGTGTGATTTTGGATCAAAGGGGAGTGTTGAGAAATGATCCAAAATATAGTAACTGTTTCAGCTATAATTTAGGAAAATCTAATCTGCCATCACTCTGTCAGTTAGGATTGTTTATATGCATTCCTGATTTTTCTCTTCCTGTATTTGCACGTTAGTTTCACTCTCAATTAGTGGGAGTTGGTTTTCTTTTCAGTTATGTAAAATGCCTATTTAAAGGCTGTATTTGTTATTCAATAAAATGTGGCAGAGTATTTTATTCAACACTGTGTTTGTTTTTGCCATCGTGTATTTTATTTCTGTTAAGTTCCAACAATAGCTTTCCTCCACTTAATTGCAGCTGTTAAGAAGAGAACTGGAAAACTACTTCAACATCTACCCTTGAACGAAAGCAAACTTCCACATTACTCTCACTTTTTATCATCCTTTCCATTTTCACATCTCCTACTTCTATTTTGCTCTTCCAAATCAAAAATCCTTTCCATTTCTGCATCTCTCGCTTTACAAAAATAACAACAACAACAACGATGTTGACTTCAACATACAGAACCACTTCCCTTATAATTCAGATTTTTCACATTTGTCTAACGCTGAAGAAATTAAGAGAAGAATACTAAAAACAAAGCGCATTTCAACTTCAAAAGTACGATTAACAACGTCGTCAGAACAGATTCAGTTGATGATTCTTAAGATACCTTAGATAATGAGTTTGTGATTGGAATTTAGACTTGGATTTCATTAGTAAAGTACAGGACCAAATCATTTTGCTGACAAGATCTAGCAATTAATATTCAATAATCGATTCTAATACAAACAACACAATGCCTGATACAAAACTAGCTTGTAATTGCAAAGCTATCTAACAGCTCAACTAAAGCATAATAATCAACGCTTTGCAAAAGACAAAAATAAAAAATAGAACCGAAGAGACACTCTGAGTTCACTCTAACTTTGGAAAAAGAGAAAGAAAGGAAAATGAATTGAACGAACCAGATCGATGAGTGCAGCGGCTTTCTCGTAGTTGGAGCCGTAGGTGATAGCATCGGTGCGACCACGTATCCCCCGCGAACGGTACCTCTGGTCACTACTTTCACCTTTCAGCAGAGGCTCCATCTTAGAGAGAGAGAGAGAGAGAAAGAGAGTGAGGTGGCGAAAAAAACACTAGTGGTTACTGTATCAGTGTATCATTAAGGAGGTGAAGGCTATGAGATCACGCTTCGCACGCGGTGTTACTAGAGAAAGAGAGAGTGGGAAACGCGATTGTTACGTAATCAAATAACGACCGACATGAGTTGAAAGAATGGCCCAGTGAAATAATCACGGTATGGAAGTGAAACGAAGACACTTCAATTCCCTCGACGGCTTTTTATTTTTTTGTCATTTAAAAGAAATAAAAAAAGTATTAAGTTGTTATTATTTAATTAAATAATTAGAAAATTAATTCATAATTTCTAATATTATATATCAGTTGATCAATTATTCCACTAATTTAATTCGAATAGAGTAAATGTATATCTGTATCAAAACTCTTCGGCTTTTTGACCCTTATGCCCCTTAATTAATAATTAATTACCAAATTGCCCCTCATTCAAAACTATTTCGAAAATTTACCCTCCCCAACAAACATAACACCAATCTGCCCCTGTTTGACCGTTGACCACGAAGCCTACCCGGGTACACCATTATCTACCCGGGTAAATTTTGAAACTTTTTATCTACCCGAGTATGTAGGGATGTACCCGGGTAGAGTTCTTGAATCTGGGAAAATGTTTGAATTATTTACCCGGGTACGTAGCAGTGTACCCGGGTAAATCGCGACGGTAGGGTTTTAAAATACCCCAGCAGCCCCATTCGAAAACCCACAAAAGGGGTACCCGAGTAGAGCTGCTGGAGGAGTGTCATCTTGAGCGATTTCAGGCATAATCTTGCACTAATTCGTCTTGTTTGTGATCATCATTCGCGGACCTTGCAACCTCTCTGCCTTCTACCGATTGAAATCGATCAAAGGTGCATTTTTTTTTCAGTTTTTTCAATTATGTTATGATTTCTGTTCTGATTCATTGTTTTCGTTTATATCATTTGATTGTGTCCGAATTATTTTATCAATTTGTATGTCATACGCTTACCCTAACCCTGAATCTAACCCTAACCCTAACCCTAACCCTAACCCTAACCCTAACATGTATCTAATTTCTGATTTTGGTTATTTTTTCAGTTTAATAGTGTGACACAATGACCTCTCGACGCGTTTCAAAGCTGCCAGTGACCCATTCCGAGAGAAGAACCAAGAGTCGTCACGATGGGTCGTCATCCTCTCAGCCCCAGGCTGCTTCGAGTCAGGCTCCGGACTTGACGTTCGGATATTTGTTTGAGGATGACATTCCTTCACACGAGAAGTTCGTGAAGTTTTTCATGACCCGGAAGATCTGCGAACCGAAATCACTGGATTCGGCATTCTTCAACCTAGAGCGTTTTGACATCGTGCCGCTTCTTGAGCAGACACATTTACTTCACCTGGCGGAGATGCGGTGCCCATACTCGGAGGTTATGGTAAGAGCCTTCTACCAGAACCTTGGCTACTCGCAAGGCGAGCTGACTTCCCGTGTATGCGGGATTGATATCATCATGACTGCTCCTATCTGGACGGAGCTACTGGGGTTCGATTTTGATGGTGTCTCAGGAGCAGCACTATATGATGGAGACAGCCATCATATATTTGGTGATTATAACCGGGAGACCATTGTTACAGAGACTAGGAGGGCAGACGCTGAGCCCGGTCATTTTGCTCATTATCCTGTTAGCAACTTGTCAGTTTCTGCTCGCATTCTTCATTATGTGGTGACACATATTATTTTCCAGCGCCCGCATAATCACTCAAAGGT